GGACAGCGAGCCAGCCAGCGGACGTGCAGTGCCGTGCAGTCCTTCCAAGAGGAGTCGCGTGCCTTCGCCCTCCGCTCATCGATCGTCATTGCCTCGCTGCTGCCGCCAGTTCGCGGCTGAACGAGTGCACCTTGACGGCCATCTATCATGAGCGGAGACCGCCTGTACCACCACCTCACCACCTCTCCCTCCTCCGCTCCGCCCTTCACCGCCCGCCTTCTCATGTCGTTCCCGCCCGCCCAGTCCTCTGCCCTCCGCCGACGGTAGTGGGCCCCGACCACCATGCCCCCACCCCTGTCGCCCAATGGCACACCCTCGCACTCCAGCAGACCGTCGACCTCGCACCGCGTCAACACCAGCGTCGCCCAGGCAAGATCACATGCTACGCCCAAACAGTCGAGTGCCGGCGGGAGCGGAGTGCTACGAAGTGCCAAAGTCAGAGGCAGCTTGGACAAGGAAAATGGCGACAAGACTGCTCCCACGCGCTCCACTCGGAGGGGGAGTAGCGCTGCACATGCGCTGGCAATGCGCGACAAGCTGCCCAGCAAGGATGGGACAGCACAACGGACCGCCAAGGAGGTCGAGGGTCTGAAGGACTATGTACGTGCCACCAGCACATTGGTCAAGACGTGAGGTCGAGCAAGAGACCATGTCTCAGCCATCCGTCTTGCCTTTCGCTGCACTTCAGTTGTGCATGAACGCGATGATCAACTTACTAACATGTCGCAGCAACTGGGCCAATGCCTCGGCCGGGGCGCCTTCGGAAGTGTGTACGCCGCCCTCAACTGGTCGACTGGAGAAACGGTCGCTATCAAGCAGGTCCGCCTGTCTGATATGCCCAAGGCCGAGCTGAATGTCATCATGCAAGAAATCGATCTGCTCAAGAACCTCAATCATCCGAACATCGTCAAATACCACGGCTTTGTCAAGTCAACCGACTCTCTCTACATCATTCTGGAATACTGCGAACAGGGCAGTCTGCACAGCATTTGCAAGAATTTTGGGAAATTTCCGGAGAATCTGGTGGCTCTGTACATTTCTCAGGTGTTGCAAGGGCTTTTGTTTCTCCATGAACAGGGTGTTATTCACCGCGACATCAAGGGCGCCAACATCCTGACAACCAAAGAGGGCTTGATCAAGCTGGCCGATTTTGGTGTCGCTACAAAGCAATCGGGTCTGGCCGAAGGCAGTGTGGTAGGGACACCATATTGGATGGCTCCCGAAGTCATCGAATTGTCCGGCGCCACCACTGCGAGTGACATCTGGAGTCTTGGCTGCACTGTGATTGAGCTTCTCGATGGCAAGCCACCCTACTCCAAGTTCGCGCCTATGCCGGCCTTGTTCCGCATCGTCAACGATGATCATCCACCCCTTCCAGAAGGCGCCAGCCCGCTTGTGCGAGACTTCCTCATGCAATGCTTTCAAAAGGACCCGAACCTCCGCGTTTCTGCCAAAAAGCTGCTCAAGCACCCTTGGATTGTGTCGGCGAAGAAGGGGAACAAGGCTAAGCCGACAGAGTACACCGAAGCTGTGAAGAGTGTGCAGGAATGGAACGAGGCGTTGAAAGCCAGTCCACCCCCTGCGCAATCGAACGGGAGTAGTCGACGACCTTCCAGCAAAGTAGCTTCCAGACCTACTTCACGAAGCTCTGCCAGACCTGGCGTCGCTGGCACGAAAGTCAAGAGCGAGTCAAAACCTGCATTTCGACTTGCTTCACGGAAGTCTCAAGGACCAGAAGCCTTTCAATCATCCTCCGATGAGGCGCACAGCGACAACTGGGAAGATGACTTTGCATCGCTGACAACAGGAATTGCTGGCCTTCAACTGCCAGCACATCTCAAGCCACAGGATGCTGGCCTGTTTAGCTCTGAAAAGCTTAAACAGTACGCTCATGCTGAAAGTATTCCAGAAACGGATGGCAAAGTTGAAGACTGGGACGGTGAGTTTCAGGGCGAGCTGACTGTACGCTCGTCATTGCAGCTTGCCGACGGGGGTGCCCTTGAGACCGTGCGCCCATACTACCCGCCTCGCGCGACATCGGAAGAAATCAGGAACCAACCGCCACCGGCCCTGGCTCCGAAGCGAAGTGGAGCCAGCAGCAAGCATGAACGCAAGCCGAGCAAGGACTCGCAACCGAGAACGCAGATACTTAAACCAGCCTCAAGGACTAGTGCGATCCCCAAGCCCCGAGCAACACCGACAAAGCATATCGTGAAGCCTCATCAGCCCGCGTCCGCCAATAAGGACCGCTTTCGAGAAGAAGAGGAAGAGGATTACTCCGACCTGGTACCAAATGATGAGGATGCTTTTCTTCAGAAACTTGCAGGATTTTCGCCCAGTCGTAAATACAACCCTCGGGATCTCAACGTAAAGACCAAACTCAATGGTAGCATGCGAAGGCGAAGGACACATACCCCCACGCAGCTTGTCCACGATGCTGCCGCCATGCGACGAAATCGTTCGAGTCTCGAAATTCAGAAGTATGCCGAGGACGACGGCGATGAAGACTTTGACACCGATCTGGTATTTGACGAACAGCCAATCAGCCTTCAGGGTGCCAAAGAGTTGGGTCACATTCGTCGCTCCAGCCCAAAGTCCTCTGACAGTAGCGAAGCCAGTGGCACATTGAAACTGACGAATTCAGTGACATGGGGCGACGACGACGATGATGAGGACGAGGAAGACCCGTTCAAGGCCTTGGAAGAGGAACTTGACGAAGTTGACCTCGAATCCAACGTCGCTCGCGACAAACATGCTCGCCTTTGTGCTGTTGTCGAAAGTCTCGTTTCCGATCTGAAAGCCGGACAACCTGAGGACGTACTGGCTGAGATAGTTGACCAACTGGTAGTCATTCTGGCCGAGAGTCCTGATGTCAAGAACGTGATTGTCAGCAGCCACGGCATGCTGCCGATACTGGAGATCCTGTCGGAGACTACGAGATCGTTCATCATTCTCCGGCTTTTAAGAATCGTGAACGTCATCCTTTCCGACAACAATGAAGTTCAGGAGAACTTGTGCTTCGTGGGCGGCATTCCCATAATTTCATCATTCGCCTCCAAGAAGTACGCCACAGAGATCCGGCTGGAGGCGGCAAATTTCGTGCGAATGATGTATCAGAACACGGGTCTCACGCTTCAAATGTTCATCTCTTGCGGTGGCTTGAATGTGCTGGTGGAGTTCTTGGAAGAAGACTATGACAGCGAAGCTGGTCGCGAGCTGGTCCTCGTTGGCGTGAATGGCATTTGGTCTGTCTTCGAGCTTCAAGGACCGACACCCAAAAACGACTTTTGCCGCATTCTCTCGCGAAGTGCCGTGCTCTACCCTCTGTCACTGGTCCTCAACCGAGTGTTGGACGAGGATGATCGAGAGCTTGCGGAGATTGTAGAATCTCGAGTGGTGAACATCTTTTTGCTGTTCAGTCAAGCAGAAAATCATGTCAAAGAGCTCATTGCTGATCGCATGGTGCTGAAGCGGGTGCTGAAAGACCTACGACGAATGCGACCTGGCAACCAGGTTGTGATGCTCAAGTTCATCAAGAATCTGAGTATGCTTTCCACGACTCTGGACGCGTTGCAGAACAGCAATGCGATTGAGGTCCTCACCGACTTGCTCGGCTCGAGCATGCCGTCTCACAGCAAATCAGCGTCCAGTGCGCAACACTTCCGCGACATCTCGAATCAGATCCTAGCGACAATGTACAATCTTTGTCGACTCAGCACTGGAAGACAAGAAGACGCCGCTCTGTCAGGCATTATTCCTCTACTGCAGAAGATTGTCAAGACCGAACGTCCCCTCAAGGAGTTTGCTCTGCCAATCATCTGTGACATGGCACATTCTGGCAAGGTCGGTCGCAAAATCTTATGGCAGAACAAAGGTCTGCAGTTCTACGTGTCACTGCTGGCCGATCAATATTGGGCAGTCACAGCATTGGATGCCATATTCATATGGCTTCAAGAAGAAACTGCCAAGGTGGAGGAGCATCTCCTCGAGCCGTCGTTCAGGTTTGACGAGGCGCTCGTGCAATGCTTTAACGAAAGCAAGGCAGATGCTTTTGAAAATCTGCTTGAGCCTTTGCAGAAGCTACTCCGTCTGAGTCCTGCTATCGCTGCCAGCTTGGCGAATCGCACGCTATTTGAAAGAGCAGCAGTCAAAATGCACGCAAAGAAGGCATTGGTCAGACTCAACTTGTTGCGTGTCATACGCAGCATATGCGACGCCTGTGAAGGCCAAGGCATGATCGAGCACGGTACGATGGGAGAAGGTGGCTCTCTGTTACGGCGATACAGCCTGTTTGACTCTGTGAAGGAGCTCGCTCGCCATGACCCGGCTATCCTAGTACGCGAGATGGCAAACGACCTGGTAAAGAGCAGCGAACTCGCGGACAGTAGACCTGTGCCTACCCCTGCGAGACCTGGAACTGGATACGGTATGTCGCGTCGCAGTTCGAGTGGCATGAGTATGATGACGCCTCCCACGCCTCTTGTCTCGCAGAGTCCGTCGGGCAGCTTCGCGAACCCGCTCAGTGCAGGCCCTTCGCTGGGCAACAGGGGAAGCTACTTCGATCTAATCCCGCCCACACTCGATCGAAGGCAAAGCGCAATCAACGTTACCAGACCGATGAGCCGGGATAGCAGCACCGGCTCGTCTTCTTCGCTAGCCTCGCTCAATGCCTTGGCGTCGATGCCTATTGGGTCTTCCGCTTCAAGAAGCTCTAGTCGAGTCCCACCTCTCCATCGCGAGCGAAGCAATATCGGGAATCATCAAAGGCCTGCGAGTCGAAGCAGTCGAATGAGCTTGATGCCTGATAATGACAGGTTGCTATCACCTGGACGAGCAGGAAGTGGGGAACAACACCTTACGCCAACACACCTGCCGCCTAGCGCAGGCACGCGTACTGCTCTCGCCGCGCAGCAAAGAGCAGAGAGGAGAAGAGGAACGGGCAATGGAAGCACTGATCTTGGTGCTCGGGCACGATAGTGGATGTCTCCGCTGCCACCAAGTACGCCCGAAGAAAGTCAACGCGACTTGGACGCTCTTCAAATGAGTTGACCACTTGCAACACCCGTGAGCTCGCGATTCCGCAGCCACACAGCTTTTCGTATGTCACATATTGTTTTGAATCCAGCGTGGCGTTCCCGGACGGACGGCAAGCTTCCTGGAGAACATGCCAGGATAAGTCGTTATTGGTTGCTTGTTCGATGGGGATTACAAAAAGATTGCAAAGAATTGTACGTTAAAAGGCAACAGAACGGCCGGCCGGATATATTTTGCACGAACAGACTTGACTGAAGAATGCATGCATAGCTGGGGCGTTTTTCCTGCAAGGCCACAATAACGCCTTTTTTTTCCATTGAGTAAAATGTCAGTTGAAGGTCGATCTGCAAGTATTACTTAGTCGTAGTATATCACAATCTCAAGTGATGAGAGATGGTTGAATTGATGGGTGCTTTCCCTTTTCGTTGGACGTGCGCTCCTTCTGAAGGCGGCCAGGGAGAAGGCCGTTGCTTCGTGTGATTGCCGTTCATCGCTGCTATTTCCACTTCTACCTGATTCTGATATTTACAGCCTACTACACTTCGCCGTCGCGACAGCCTACATCACAATGCAAGCCAGAGCACCTTGGGTAATCACCACGCCTTTGTTTGTTCTGAGAAGAGGCGGCATTGCACACTGTCTTTTCTGGTGGCTGTACAAATGCATTGTTCTCGACACGAGCTAATGTGCGACTCTTTGTCCGTCATACGTTGCTCCCAGGAACTGCACAATCCGATTGTGTAAGACGCACATCCCCTTTGTCGTCTGCATCTGGTCACCATCCGTCAGAGATGTGTACATAAGCACGCCTTGCGGTTCTAATGCTCAATCTCACGAATTCAAACACAGACAGAACCAACAGAAGGATCGTTGAAGTCACAGACTACAGCGCAGAAAAGACCAGCAACAACACTTCTACTAGCCACAAACTCAACTTCAAAATGGGTGTTCACCCTCAAATTGTCGGCCAGGTGCCAGACATGAAACTCGAGGAGCTCTACCAACCAACCATGGTGAGTATTACGGTCGTGGACGGGGATGAGTCTGAGACCTTCCACATTCCCCGCGAACTGATTTGCACTCGCTCCGATTACTTCAGAGCCACCTTCAAGGGACAATTCTCCGAAAGTAAATCACTTACTACCACATTAGAGGAGACTCCGATCTGGACATTCAAGACATTTGTTGGTTGGCTCTACACCTGCCGACTTGTTTTACCTCAAACACCGACCGGTCTGCTCGGCGAGACTGGAGAAGCAAAAGACCCAACGACGTGGCCTTTCCAGACTCTGTTCGAGCTGTACGTCTTTGCAGATAGGTTCGACACACGTATGCTGCGGAGGCTGATCATCGAACAGATCATCTTCAAGATCTCCTCTGGAGACGGATACCCCGAGCTTTCTTTCCGAGATCGCTTTCCTTTACGGAAATGTTCCTCGTGCTTCGCCTCTCATTCGATTCATCTGCTATGATGCGGCCGAAAATCTCGATGAGAACGAAGCGCTCAGAGATTATCAGAAGCAGATTATCGCCGTACTTGGCGATGTTGAGATCGCATTTGATATCGCTTCTGATTATAAGGCTGCATGTGAAGCGTCGAAGCGTCGAAGTCCAGATTGCAGGGGCTCTGCTGGACTCTTCGACTTTGGGATCTCATGCGATGCACATTCCGTGCCACCTTACGCGGCGAACCACTGTTTGCAGAAGTGGTGTTTCTGGCACGAGCACGAAAAGGACGAGAATGATTCCGAGAAGACTATCTGCGCGCACAGGGTTGAGAATTTCGAGGAGAGACTCGAAGCTCAATACGAGGAGTCGGGCAGGTCTGAACTCTGGGAGGACAGGAAAGGTGCATGGCGTCGGTCTATGTTTACGCTAACTCCTTCCAGAAGCGTACGTGATTTCTTTGACTATGGATGGGTAAACCTTCCGTTCTGATAAGCACGCGTGAGGTCAACCGGTCATGAGATAGTGATTGCATAGCACGGTGTGTGTGCGCTTGATCATTGTGATGAAGGTATAGCCTTTGCGTAGTTTCGAAGAATTGGTACAATGCTAGATGGTAGTTTTCGCCTTAATTGAGTTTCCCCTTCAACGTCTCGTTTTGCCTCTGTTTGCTGTTTCCATTTACGCGTAATGTTGGAAACCACGTGAACGCTCGAAAGTCTCGGCGGTAAGTGTGTTCCGACGAATTTGTTAGCGGGGAGAGAAACATCCACAGCGATGCAAGGGTATATATGACAGAGGGCGATCTAGGTTGACAAGCAGCTGAGTGTTCTGTTGGAGGCGCAACGGCTCTAGCGCATCCATCGTGTCGCGTGAGAATTGTGCAGGCACCTGCCAAGCTTGTTCGAAGCGACGACGGAAGCTGCAGGAAGGTGAATCACGAAGCACAGGCCGCTCGAGTCCATTCACCATCCATGAACATTCACTAGCGCTAGACCGACTTTGGCCAATCATAGAGCTGCAGCCGAGACATCATTCACCACATTCTCAGGGAGTTCCACTAGCGCTAGCTGGCTCTCGACCAATCGGAGCGATCTTGCTAGATCAAGCGACTGCAAATGAAATTTTCATTGCCCGCCTCATGAAATCATCGTCCGGTCTCTCAAAAAAGTTTGGGTACGTCAATGGCAAGACGACTCATCGTGCGGGCACATTTCACGTACAAAGACCATTCCACCTAAACTACCACTTTCATTCACGAGCACCACAAGGATCCAGCGACAATGTCAACTTTTGGCGATTACTTCCGCGTGACGACTTATGGAGAGTCCCATGGCAAGTCGGTGGGGTGCATTGTCGACGGTGTCCCGCCTGGCTTGGAGCTCAGCGAGAAGGACGTTCAACCACAGATGACACGCCGAAGACCCGGACAATCCGCTCTCACTACACCTCGCGATGAGAAAGACTTGGTGGAGATTCAGAGTGGTACAGAGTTTGGCGTTACGCTGGGGACACCTATTGGCATGCGGGTCATGAACCAGGACCAAAGGCCGAAAGATTATGGAAAGGATGGAGCGACGTTCAATGGACAAGTGGCTGGTGCGAAGCCCCAGAGGCCTATGGATGATTTTCCTAGACCTTCACATGCGGATTGGACGTATCTGGAGAAGTATGGCGTGAAGGCTTCATCTGGTGGTGGGCGAAGCTCTGCGCGTGAGACCATTGGACGTGTTGCTGCTGCGGGTGTGGCAGAGAAATACTTGAAGGTCGCACATGGAGTGGAGATTGTGGCTTTCACGAATAGTGTTGGGCCTGAACATCTCTTTCCTTCGACGAGGACGCACCCTAGTCCTTCTACGAACCCGGAGTTCTTGAAGTTGATTGAGGGCGTGACGAGAGAACAGGTCGACTCTTTCTTGCCTGTACGATGTCCCAATGGAGAAGCTGCGAAGCGGATGGAGGATCTCATTGGGGAATACCGAGACAAGCACGATAGTATTGGCGGGACAGTCACATGTGTGATCCGGAATTGTCCTTCAGGGCTGGGTGAGCCGTGTTTCGATAAGTTGGAGGTAAGGTCTCCCCCTTGCATGAGTTGCGCCCTGGACCTTCGCAATTGCTAATGAGAAACAGGCCAAACTAGCACATGCGATGTTGAGCATACCAGCCACAAAGAGCTTCGAGATCGGTTCAGGACTTGGTGGTTGCGAAATGCCAGGCTCAATTCACAACGATCCTTTCGTCAAAGCTCCCGCTGTCCCTCCCTCAGCAAGCGGAGCGGCACAAAACCCAAGCTCTCGACCCAGACTGACGACGAAGACCAACAACTCTGGCGGCGTTCAAGGCGGTATCTCAAACGGCATGCCCATCTTCTTCACAGTGGGTTTCAAGCCTCCTGCTACGATCGGACAAGCACAGCAAACCACCACATATGACGAAGAAGAGGGCGTTCTCGAGGCGAAGGGGAGACATGACCCTTGCGTTATTCCTCGCGCTGTGCCGATCGTGGAGTCGATGGCTGCGCTTGTGATCATGGACGCCATATTGGCACAAAGCGCGAGGCAAAGCGCACGGAGTTTACTTCCTGTTGTGAACAACAAGTTGATTGTACCGATTTCGGAACAACAGAATAACTTGACGTCGCCTGCGAATGGACATGCGAAGTAGAATTGGGTTAGCTCTAGCTGTAGGATTATGGCAGCACACGGGCTTCTTGCTATAAGCCTCATCATACGCAGTTTGCAGGTTCGATTGCCTGACGCTTCGTTGGATGGTACGCTCTGAACCGCACGATATGCTCCAACACTCTATAGTCTAAGAAATGACTGCAACGATAATGCCAGAAGAAAACACACACAATCAAACGCTCAATGCTGGCCTCGGACTCCCTCTCATTCCCTTCGTGCGAAAACACTCCCATTTGTCATCCTTAACTCTCCTCCAATTCACTTCGTTCACCGCACCTAAGACCACATCTCCCATTCCCATAACCTCCATCTCCATCCATACAGTCGCCACACCGTTCACTTCGTCCAGATCCACATTCGAATGTGTAATCTCGAATCGTACATTTGGCATTCCTGCTGCTCGTGCTTTCCAGAGCTTGACTTGTTCTGACCAAGTCACGCCCTGAGGTTGTGTATCCATGGATCCGGTCCAGTCAGGCGTGATGCAAGATGCTAGCTCTTGGACATCTGGTCCTTGAAGAGAAAAGTCTTTCGTGTTGATGATTGTTGGAAAAGCGCATGAGAGGCGATTGAGACGTGAGGCTGTAGGTTCTCCGGGCACGTTGTCGTTCGCTTTTGGTTTAGAGGAGAGTGTCATTGTTTCCAGAGGGCCGTGAAAAGCCATGACTGGTACTGTGTGACGGACTTGAGCATACGCAAGGACCTGGATCCTTCCGAAAACTCTTCCACGGCTGAACGCTTGAAGAACTCAGCTTTTGGCGGCGGCCATTTTCGGGAAGCTGGAACCAGACCACTCATAGATGGCGGCTCTTGGCGTTTGCCGGGTGGCACTACTTGCAAGTGAGGGCAAGCTGTACGGCATATTGCATATTTTTGTCGTACACGTTGCTGTGGTGTGCTATGTATGCGACATGATCCTCGGAGAAATTAGCCTGCCTTTCACTTCGACCTCAGCTCCACTTCGCGAAGCTCTTCGCCTCCATCCCGACAAGGCTGTCTTGGTCGTCGAGGTAAAGGAAGTTCCTGCAAAGGGATGTTGACATAGGGTGGTGCTGGTCGGAAATTGCCTTTCCTATCCTTTCTGGTGTCTCGCTCCGTGGATCGTCGTTGAACTTCCGGCACGAAATAATGCGAGCATAATGCACCCAGAATCATGCATATCGCGAACGACAGCAAGAGCCAGCGAATAGCCGATGAGTTGGGTTTGCCAATTGAGGGGACGTGCAGAATGACGATTTGTACAAGCACGGCGCCGATCTTGCCGATTGCTGCAGCGATGCCGTAGAATGTGCAGCGATATCTTGTTGGAAAGACTTCAGCCGGTATCTGGGCTCTTGTCAGCTTGAATTCGATTTTGAGGTGCAGCGGACTTACGATGAATGTCAGAGTATTGGGGCCGAAGCTGAACAGGAAGGAAATGATCACCCAGAACATAATCAGGACAACATGTAATCCGCCTTGATGAAACAGTGACTTGAAGCTGGCGAACGCTGCCAGTAATACGACAGCAAGCAGGCAGAAGGTAATAGTCAGCATGTGCTTCCGATTGAAGCGGTTGATCGTGGCGATAATCAGGAAGGACCCGAGGAGTGACGCGATCGAGACAGTGTAGATGGCTCGAAGCATGTTGCTTTCGAGCACAGTGCCGACCAAGGTGTCTGCGATGGTACCGTTAGAGTAAGTTCCGTTTATGATCTCCACACCATCTATCGTTGCGTTGACAATTCCGGAAGTCTCCAGCCTGCAAGAAGTCAGGTATGAACATCGACATGGCAACATACTGCTAACTTACCAATACGGCACTCCAGGTGGAAAGGTCAGATCTTGCGAGGTCCAGAGTTTAGCAAGAGTAGATGGATTATTGAAGCCGAGTCCATCTGTGAATCCCTGGTCAGATAAGAGTGCGTAAAGGTAGGCCTGCTTGACTCACAGAATGCAAAGTCCAGAAGGAGCCAACACATGGAGGTGCCAAAAAGATCGATCCAATGTCCTTGATGATATAAGAAGTCCCATATTTCACTGAATTTGAACTGGTTGATAGGCGATTCTTCTCCCAGGCTACGAACATCAGCAGACGACACAGAAGCGTCTGAGGATCGTAACGCGCCGATTCCGTCGTTTGGTGCGATGTTCTTGCGCACTTCGTAGGTGAAGCGGCCACTTTCTGGCATAAATAGTCGAAATCCAAGGGCCAGAAGCGTGGGAAAAGCACCGATGCCGACGACATATCGCCAGAGTTTGTCGATCTCGACTTTCGAGCTGCCGAAAGCACGCAGGGCTGTCAAGCCTGCTCCATAGGCACAGAGCTGGCCAAGGGGCTGCATCAGGAACACGGCTGCGATCATACGGCCTCTGGACTCGGTCGAGGACCATTCGGCAGCAATGCAGGCACTGAGTGGGTATTCTGAAGCGGCGTAAGCCCAGAAACGCCAATGAGAATGAGCGTATCAACTCACCTGCACCGATTCCGAGACCCATGACTGGAAGTTGTTGATCACAGGTAAGCATATGAACAGCACGAATTTGCGGTGCATTGTTCAACGATCGCTAGACTTACTGGTTCGCCAAAAGATGATCCAAGCATCAATATCCCAAGTGTGGTTACCATTGTCGTCGGTGAAGCCATTTGAGCATTGCAATAGTCCGACAGTGCTGATAATGACAATGATCAGTTCGATGCCATAGAGCGACCGCCGTCCATATTTGTCTGCGAAGTAGCCGAAAACGAATTGGCCAACAGCGGAAGCTGAGAGCGTGGTCAGGTTGAAGGCAAGGGCTTTATCATGTTTCGTGCCATCCCAGTAGACATAAGCCAGAGCTGGGAGGATGACATTCGAGGCAAACAAGTTGTAGGAATCAGTGAAGAAGCCAGACGCTGCGACAATGTAGACCAGCCAGTTGAAACCCGAATCGTCGACGTTCTGGAGGAAGTTCTTGCGCGCTCTTGCGGAATTCTAGTTGGGAGTTAGTATGTCGCGCCAGATGCTGTATTCTGGAGTGCAACTTGCGGTTCCGAAGCCGGCTCCCAGGGCTTCGGGATCTTTGTCGGGCCAGAAGAACGAGCTCCCAGTGTTGCCCATCGTGTATTCACGCCGTGTCGGTGTACTTTCCTCGCATGGCTGTACGATTACCGCGTTCGGGCCTGCTCATGGAGGACAATCTCTTGGACATGGAGAAGTCACACTGCGCAGCCAGAGTAGATTTGTGGCGCCGTGGACCAGCCCATGCACTCGGCTCCGACCATGCTCGAGCTGGTGTGTCTCGGCGGAAGTGCTGCGGGAAGTCGAGACTCTCTTTCCAGTCACATCAGTTGGTGTGCTCACCGGACATCGGGAGCGAAAGGATCGCAAATGTACGCCACCAGATATCTCGAGCCCGTCGTGATGGCAGACGCTCGCACGTGGGAGCTGTTCTTGATGTGGCTGTACTACTTCTCACGAGGTGCGGCCTCAAAGGCTGCCAATCCGCCAAACACCGACGCCACGCGCTTCTCAACGATGCTGTGGATGCTCCTCGGTTAGCTGCGCGTAAGTTGGGCCCGTGTCGCGTGAGCGAAACTCATGTCGCCTCGCTATCGCCATGACACGTCTGTTCTGCTCTGCTTCTGGGCTGTTCTCTTGCACCTTTCTGCAATCGTCGGGTCTTGGAGTCACGAGGCCGCCTTGACGCCACTTCGTCCTTGAGCATGTCAGCACCTCTGGACGCTGGCGGGCATCACCTGGAGACAACACCGCTCTCTCTTCCCCTCGCGCCGAGACTGATCTGACAACCTTCCTGAGCCGCTGTCGGAAGCTTTCATGTAATAGTCTATGGACCCTCGAGCCGTGAGCGTCGGCAGCCATCACCATGCTCGCCGCCAGGACTCACACAACTCTCATCGCCACTCACGTGCCGAGACCCAGCATGTCTCTTTCAGAGGCCAAGTTGCCATCGAGATGGAGCGACACGATACGGTGTACGCCAACCAGCTAATAGCCACATCCCGCGAGTGTGCCTGGCAAGACGATTCAGGAACCACCGTGCTACGCCACGTTTTCAAAGAGTCCATGAACAGGTATCACCCTTGGAGGCATGTAGGACAGCATAGTCCCCGTACCGTGGCGTTCGATCACAGTGAGATGCTAGGTTGTGAGGCTCATTGCTGCATTTCGACTCATCAGCCTCACCTCAAGACTATGCCGACCTACGTCTTCTCGGAACCAGACGATTACGCATCATTCCAGAGCCTCTTACGAGGGACGCAATTCTTGCGCGACTACGATACCTTATCGATCAAATGCAAAGCAACCGAGGCGCAGGCCAGCAAGAACCATTGTGTTAAATCGTGGCAGTCATTTGAAGACCCTTCGCAGCGAGGCTTGAGCATCCCGCTCACAGTCAGATCACAGAAAGGCTTCAAGCTGAAGCATGTTGAGGTGTCTATTCGCTGGCTCAACTGGGAGAAGCAAGATGCCAAAGCCGTCAAGCTTGACTTTCGGCAAAACAAGAAGCGGAGTTCGGTCACTGGGTCTGCCAATTTCACCGCTCCCCGTCGCTCGACTCTGGGATTCTCGCGAGGATACTCCTGGAGCAAACAGACGTCCACTGCTCAGCCTGCATTTCAGAGTCAAGAACGAGATGACGGGCTCGCTCCCTCTGAGATCGCACAGAGGTGGCAATCATTCGTGATCGAGTTCTCAGACAAGAAGAGTGAGCATGACTCAACCTCGATTGCCGTCAATCAATTCTGACATTCTACAGCACGAGATGAATTCTGCAACGATCATTGCAATTTTCCGCGAGCTGGTGGTCTCGATGCTAGACCCAGTTCGCTGCTCTCATCTGCTTCCAGCATGGAGCCTGAACTCAGTGAGCTGTCTCTGCCATCGCCTGCAATTTCTGTGCCCTCCTTTACATTCAGTGGACATACGCCAAGCACTATGGCACAACTTCCGACTCCTCAAATCAGCGCGTACTCGCCAAAAAGCAAAGCTTGGAACAGCGAAATGCTGCCACTGCTTCCCAGCCCCGTGGCGCACGATTATCTGCGCGTCGGTGGGCCAAAATCGATTCCCCGCGTGATCAGCACTTCATTGAACTCTCCTAATCCTGCCGCACTATTCCACAGGAAGCTGTCGAGGACGGACGAGTTCCGCATCTTGCGGATAGCGAGAGGACGAGGAACTTCGCTCTGCTGTTTCCTGGATCACCACACCTTAGCTTCCCCGCCCAAGTACGAAGCAATGTCATACTGTTGGGGTGTAGAAAAGGCTTCGAGAACGATCACGAGCGGTGATCTGGAAGGCTTTCCGATATCTGAGCATTTGTGGCGAGCTCTGAACAGGCTGCGAATGCCCCATCAGGACCGACTGATATGGATCGATGCACTATGCATTAATCAGCTCGATGTCGATGAGCGCAACCAGCAGATTGCTCTGATGCGGAGAATTTATTCTACGGCACTCAGGACTGTCATATGGATCGGAGATCTGCAGCCAGAACGACCCACGTGCTCGCGCGGCTTTGCCGATGAGGGCGACGCTGATCTGACGCTGTGTGTTCATCCTGGACTTGCAGAGATCGAGCATGAGAATGCCGTCGAGGACTTGCGCCTGGATTTACAGCATCTGCAAAAGCACAGCGACACAGATGAAGGTGCTGATGTATGGTGGCGAAGGCTATGGTGTGCACAGGAGGTTCATTTCTCGAAACGCCCGCCTTCTGTCTACATCGGCCCTCATGCCGTCAAGTGGGCGCATTTCTGCTCGCTGTTTGATAGTGCCAGCCATGCGCTCGCTCCATTTCTCAGCCTTCAGCACACTGTCCCGGACTCTTTCAGTCAATTGGTGTTGATGACTGGTGCTCTGCACTGTTCAGATCCCAGGGACCGTGTGTTTGCACTGCTCGGGATGGCGCATCGTGCCGCACAAGCTCTCAAGCCCGACTACCGCAAAAGCATCATCAGCATCATCGAAGATGCCTGCCTCTATCTGATCCAGGAATCTGGCACTGTCGATGTGCTGCTGGACGAACGCATCACTCGATCAATCTATGGCAGGGAAGAGCTGCATGACGTTATCCCATCATGGATCCCAGATCTAACTTGTCTACTTGGCATGGGAACTATACTCGACGGTCACAAGAACAACGCAGGACTGCTTCACGATCAGCCGCCACAAATTCCCATTGTTGGACTGTCAGAAGCCCAGCCACCACTTTTCTCCGTCGATGCAGAGTACGATTTGCCGAGAACGTTAAGTTGTCGCGGCGTTTATTTCGACACCATCGAGAGGCGAACAACAGTTGCTGATATCCCTCTGTACGAGCAGTCTCCCGATGGATCACTGATATACAATTCTCTAAAAGAACGAGGTCATATTATTGACGAAATACTGAACAAATTGAAGTACGACTTCGGCGAGCACAAACGGCAGAGCAAGCACGGACTGGATGTCAACCCAAGCGTTGGACGTCTCATGTTGGACTACCTTCTCGAGGGCCGACGAAGCTATGTCGAAGATCTAGAACGCAGGACCAAGCCACCAGAGCGGGACGTGGTGACTTCCTACGAGCGCCAAGAAGACGATGATCTCGCGTATTTGCAACACGAAAGCAGGCATCGTGATGTCAGAAGAGACGTCGAGTACGTCCGAGAGCGCTGGAGGTTGAAGATCTTGCGCGCAGAGGCGAATGAGCGCTTCGTGCCAGAACGTATCGCGCCAGCACTTGCCAGTGGAAACGTCAAAATTGAGCAAGATTTTCTTGTTGCCCGTGATCTCGGCAACCTGTTCGCATATGCTCGGCGAACGAAAAACAGATATTACCTGAACACTGCCAACTCCGAAGCGCCGATGCGACGAGACGTGTTGAATTGTGCTAGCATCGCGGAGGTGAAACGGCTACGCACGCAGTATGATTCTCAGGCGCAGGATTTAGAGCTTCATCAGTACAACGCCAAGTGTCGCGAGCGGGACTTTTTCAAGACGAAGATGGGATTTTTGGGCTTGGGTCCTTCTTGTTTACAGGAAGGCGATGAGGTTGTAATTCTTTTGGGTGCGAGTCGGCCATTTATCCTTAGGAAGGATCTGGTGTCGGGATCACATTACACTTTTGTAGGAGAGGCGGTTGTGCCTAGTATTATGTCGGGAAAGTGGACGAGGTTGGAGAAGGAGTCGTGGACAGATTTTAGAATCAAGTGAAGACTTGTCGTCGTGAAGAAATGATCGAATTCTGGCGATTATTGATAATTGTCATGGTCCTGTTTTGGTCCAAATGGAGGCCATGTGAAGTCATGAACTGCAGCGCGACTGGCCGAGATCGCGATTGCCAAGTCGCGTGCAGCAGCTTCCATCATTGCGGCGCGTCCTCCTGTTTCGTCCCTGCTACAGTGATGCATCTCGTTCATGCCTTCGATACGTCAAGCAGCTGTGAAGGACTGACGACGACGATGACGATGTTGCCGTGAAGAGATGCGATGCAGATAGTCTATCACTGACGCCGTCTCGGAGCTTGATCGCGCATCCCTGCTCCGCATCTTGACGTCGACGCACGCGACCATCACCACCACCAGCACCCATCCTCCCGCCAGGACCGAGGACATGAGCTCGCCGCAATGGCTCACTCAAGTCGTGCCGGCACGTCTGTCCTTCCTGGCCATCTACAATCCCTCCCTCGGCCTTACCGATGACACCTTCAAGGACCAGGCCCTCTTCTACTTCTCGCGCAGGGCCCACGACGCACGACTCGCAGTGAAGAAGAATGGGCGCAGCGACGCTGCTGGCGGCGATGCCATTCGCGAGGAAGAGAATGAGAAGCTGCGGCAGATTGGTTTGGCACAAGGCATGATCGATTTTGCACGGTACGTGGGGATGGTATTCGGACACACATGGCGCAGGAGTGACTGAATGGACAGATAGGAGCTTCTCGGATAGGGAAGCTGTGGATTCCATCGATACGGAGAAGTCACGCATCGTCCTGCACGAGTTGGAGGCGGGGTGGTGGGTGCTGGCGGTAGGTCACATCTGGAGCAGATCCGACACACGCTGATCAGGACAGTCCATCGATCTCACGAGATTGCCTGGAGTGCCTTCAGCTACCTCCGATACGGCGAAGAAGGGCTCTGCAAAGGCCGAGCCGAAAGTGAACGTCGAGTACTCGGCCCGGGAGGTCAGTCCACCAGCGTTACTCATTCAGCAGCTCATTCAAGCGCACCATATCTTCTCCCTGCACCATGGTCCTTCTCTCGCCCAGCTCTTCGTTCGCATGCAACGCGAGAAGTTCTGCAACGCGTTGGACCGATTCTGGACTCGCTTCTGCCGCACATGGGACGTCTTACTCCACGGCAGTCCTGCGACCGACATCTTCACAGGAATCAAGCTCTCCAGTGGAGGCGAGCTTGGAATGGGCGTGGGCGAGGAAGAGTGGGGCAGTGGTGAGCGGGACGTGCTCGAAGACCTTGTGCGGCGGACTGAGGGACTGGTTGACGTGGTCGCCGCTCGGTTTGGTGAGCCCGCCCCAGCCAAGGAAGCTGCTGCCGTTAGCGAGTCAGAATCATTGCCTTGGTTGGGTGGCGGTAATTATCCTGTTGCATCCGATGGCATAATTTTTGGTGGCATTGGAGCCATCACGAAACCTTCGCTCAGAAATGTGTCTCTCTGGATGCGGCAGATCTATACCTATGGCGATTATGCCTACGGAGTCCGCGACAACCCACTCCGCGAACGAAGAAGACGCAGGAAGCGGCAAACTCTTGTTCCAGATCTAGGCTCTGATTTCGTCGACCAGTCGGATCCGAAGACAAACATCCCAAATGTACCAATCAGTACTTCGGCGAAGGACTTCGGGACGGGAAAGGCGAGACGGATACCAGAATCGCCTCCTGCAGTAGATGGGACTGAAGACCCATCCGCCGAGGACGATGCAGCTAGTGCAATGGGGCGGCCAGGCATTCCCCCACCCATTGTCAGCGCAGCCGAGACTTCGCTCACGCGGGCTACGAGAGAAGCCCAGACTACGACGACTGAAGCTTCCTCGAACGATGAGACCACTCTCGGTGTGCCTGATCAATACATGAAGTATCTCACTTTCGGCATTAGTACACTGGTGAAATCCAATCAGAAGCGACCTGAGCCGCCGAAGAGGACGTCGACATCAAGTTCGAAGACATTGACTCAGCAGCGGCACGCAGCTTCTAGCATGTCCAAGCAGAAAGAGAACCTGGAAACCGGTGACAGCGGGCTGACACACGTCGATCCTCTACCTGACGGCGAAACGCTTCGGACGAAAATTGATATTCAGAGGCGGCTTGAGGAGAAAGGGCACTTTGTAATCGGCTTGCGAGGAGACCTCGACGACGTTCCAGATGAAGGCGATGCGCCTATCGAGGATTTTGAGGACGAAGAGTCTGGCGGGTTGCGCAATGTCTTACGGTCTGTCCATGTACAGCTATCATCAAAGGCATTGGAAGACGAAGACCAGACTTCGTTACAGCGCAAGTTGTCTGATGCTGGCTTATCTTCCGAGGCTGAGGGATGGGACGACTTCAAACGCCATCGAGTCCTGGTCTACGTTCATCGCCCGTTCATGTACTGCTTTCTCTTCCAGCATCGGACGCCCTCGCTGGCGGTGGCCAGCTTCTACAGGGACTTGCATCGAAACCTGCTTCCCATACACAAGCCTCTATTGTCTTCAACGAGCTACACGAAAGTGGCGCAACGTATTGACGATGCGCAAGCGGCAACATCAGACACAGCTAGCATCACGAGTGGACAGTCGAGCAACGGCCAAGCTGCACAACCAGCGCCCATCTATGACCTACTCTACGACCCTGCGCTTCTTACGATACATACGAGTATCCCTAATATTGCTGAGCCCGGCACTCCTGCAGCCGAAGGGATACTATCTAGCAAGAAAAACACACCTGCGCCGACATGGAACAGAATCGAGGCCTTGAATGTACACAGCCAAGTCCTCAACACTCTTTCCAGCGTCAAGCGCAACCCTCAGGAATACGAGCGCACCAGCAAAACCAGTCGCGGGTGGTGGGTGGTGTGGATGAAACTTCCGCCATCCGCAAATGTTGTCAATGAGGCCGAGCCAGAGGCAGAAGTGCAATCCGATGCTGGTATACCCTCTCCAAAAGATGCTAAACCAGCAGATGAGTCCTCCTTTGTCCCGCCAGCGTTACCGAAGGAGGACTCTGGCGGAACTCTGCTTCCTCCGTCAACAAAACATCCATCGACAGTCTCACACAAAAAGCCTCCGTCGATGAATCGGATCGCGTTTCTCGTTCGCAAAGCATCGGATACCACTGCTCCGGTGAAATCTTCGACGAGTAGCCGCGCTGCGAGTAGCATGTGGAGCGCGCTAACTCTTCGACCTACTTCGACATCCGATGAGAATACCGGCGGTGCGGGTGCTGGTTGGGGACCTTCGGCTCTCGCTGGAGGGATTGGATTTGACCCTAGAAAGTACGTAGAGGGCCTGCTGAGTTTGAACAGATGAGCGTTGTCGCTCGCGAGGGTAAAGTTTGAAACACCTGCAACACGCGCATGGCCTGTTGCGGGAAATCGCTAGCAGAGAACTATCCGGACGACAGAACGGACATACGACGGCAAGGGACAGACTGCTCCACGTTATCGATGTCGGTTTTCGATATCAGCATCCTGTCGAAACGCAGCTTATGGTCCGCGTCATCCGTGATGTGGCTCATATGCTTGCGCACTTATATCACCTACCGGATCCGAATACGGCGCGCTAGAGCAGATTTGCGGACGATGCCAGAGCATGGATTTGGTCTGTGGCAGATGCATATCCCATCTTGCACTGCGAAGTTGCGAACAGCGTGCAGCGACAAATAGCCTTTTGCCTGACATAAGCGCAGTCGTATCATTGACCCTAGAAGACCGTTGCATCTACAACCTGCTTTCGTTTCATCTCGTCCGCCGCACGAATTCGTCCGTCACTATTTCGAGGCCAAGCGCTTTCCCCTCCTACAACAAGCCTTGGACATCGTGCCACACCTCGGACATACTTCACGATGAGCTGACTAAGGCTTTGTAGCACACGATACAAGAATCCAAATTGAAAGAGCGTTCAAACGACTGCATCGGTGAGTACGTGATGTTAGCTTTCAAGGGTCATATGACTGAAACCTCGATCTGTTAAGCTCAGGATCCGTGAGTCAAAAGTTGATGACGGCGACAAGGAATTTACCTCTCTCAGGAGATGAGTGGTTCATGAAGGATCGGAAGGATCACCTAGCTGAGCTTGCTTCGCGAAAGTCGGAAGTAACATACATAACACCACCACACGCCGAGGCAGCAACTTCTTCTCGCAACCCGAACACAACATGTCGATTTACGAAAGTAAAGGTTTCGCAGTCCTTTATGCTAGCGTTCCGCCGGCTTTGCTAGCCATTGCGCTGCAGTTTGTGGATTTCACAAGCCTGGGCCTACGTGGAAAGGCGATTTTCTTGCTGCCTGTTATACTTTACTTGTATGCAGCGTATAAGATTGGAAAAGCTATACTCGGAAATCTGAATAATCCACTGCGACAGTTGCCGACTCCTTCTGGAGACAGCTTCTTGCTCGGCCATGCGAGAGCTACGTGGGAGGAGCCGAGAGGAAACTGTTTCCTCAGATGGATCGACGAAGTCCCGAATGAGGGACTGATATATTACGCTGGGTTCTTCCGAGCTACTCCGCATGTCATAGTCACGAGTCCCGACGCGATTCGAGAAGTTCTGGTCACGAGAGCGTACGATTATGTCAAGCCGGATATTGGACGGAAGTTTTTGGAGCAGACTACTGGACGTGGGTTAATTGTTGTTGAAGGAGATGAGCATAAAATGCAAAGGAAAAGTGTCGCGCCTGCATTTTCTGGGAAACATGTGAGAGATTTGGTGCCGGTGTTCTGGAAGAAGGCGAAGGAACTTGCGGATGTTCTGGCGAGTCAATTGGATGTTGTGAGTGAGGGTGACGATGAACGGAATACGGGAGTGGTGGAGTTGAATATGTGGGCTTCGAGGGCGACGATTGATATTATTTGTGCTGCGACTTTGGGGAGGGAGTTTGATTCGTTGAGAAATTCGGATAATGAGTTGGCGTTGCAGTATGGAAGGGTTTTTGGGGAAGCTGGGGCGCAGATTTGGATTATTTTTGACCTTTTGGGGGCTCCGCCGCCGTTGCAGCTTGCGAGATGGATGCCGTTTTTTACGAAGTTTCGGAATGCGGCGGAGGGGAGGTACCAGTTGAGGCCGTTGTGTAGAAAGTTGGTGGAGCAAAAGAGGCAGGATATTGAGAGTGGTAAGGACTCGCAGGTTGATATTTTGTCTGTGTTGATGCAGTCTGGGGAGTTCAAGGATGATGGACTGGTGGATCAGTTGTTGACGTTTCTTGCTGCTGGGTGAGTCCTCCTTTGCTTGAAGAGATCTTTGATCTGACTATGTGCACAGGCACGAGACTACATCTTCTGCATTTGCATTCACTTGCTGGCTGCTTGCAAAGCACCCAGAAATTCAAAAGCGACTACGAGACGAGCTCAAAGCCCATTTCACGGGAGTCGAAAATATCTCCATGACTGCAACCGATCTCGACAATCTGCCATATCTTGATGCTGTTATCAGCGAGCAACTACGCCTATACCCTTCAGCACCAATCTCGCCCCGCTGGTCGGTCCGCGAGACGAGTATCCTGGGGCACCACATACCAAAAGATCAATTTGTCCTCCTCTGTCCATGGGCGACCAATCGTAGCAAGAAACTCTGGGGCGAAGACGCTCAAGAATTCAGACCTGAACGGTGGTTGACGAAAGAGGGCTCGGAGAACGTGAAGGATGCGGACCCAATGCGTTTCTTGACATTCTTCTACGGACCGCGGAGTTGTCCAGGCCAGGCCTTTTCTCGATTAGAGCAGAAGTGTTTGGTCGCGGCGTTGATCATGCGGTTCCAGATCGAGATGGCGGATGAAGAAGAGGAGATCTCGCCTCGTGGCTTCATCACGGTCAAGCCGATGGGCAACAATGGCTTGCAATTGAAACTGCGAGAGTTGTCGCAGTAGGTGGTCTTTTTGCTCCAGTCTCGCCATTGACGGCCTTGAGAGCGTAAATGGCGGGCAAGATACTTGACTCCACTCCAAGACTCTGGTGGTTCGGACGTACAAAGGGTCAAGAGGCGCATAAGGTGTGAAATCTCACTCATATCTACGAAACAAAATAACTCACAGAGATACATTGATCGGCAGCGAGTGTCGTGCGTAAGGAACAGATTAATGTTGGAGACGTTGAAACCTTTCCTGAGCTTCTCAAATCCACGCAATGCTTACAAAGGCTTGCGTTACCATCTTCCGTGATTCACCAATCTCAGTCTCTCTGTGCAGCCTGGTGCCGTCGACGCTTCTCCTCCTTCTTCTCAGCTCTTTGAGCCCTTTTGGATGCTTTCGACCCCTGATGCTCCTCAAAGTCAACTTTCACATAGCCCTTGCCGCTGAAAGATGGAGGCTTCGTTGCTTCTGCCTCGGGATCGCTCGCAGGAAGCGACGAGGCGATTTCAGTGCGTCCTGCCGGGCTGTCTGCCTCCGTCCGTAGCAATGACTGCAGTTCCCCAATTGCGTCTTCCGCCATATGTTCGCTATCACTTGCTGGGGTGCTCGAGTGTTGTTCAGCTTGCTCCGCCTGACCTGCTGGCTTGTCGTCCACATGTGCAGACTCAAGCGTCTCGGCGGGCTCCATTTCTTCTGGCTCGCGATCGTTTGCAATTGTAGGTTGTTGCATAACTGTGACGGCAGACTGATTATCCAGAGATGCAGATCCCAGCTCGCCGATGCGGTCTTCCTCCTCTTGCCTTAAGTCGTCGGCAGACCCTGGCTCGCTTTCCTCAGCACATTCTGCGTGGCTGGCCGTCTCATCTTCCAATGGAGCGCGCTCCGAAGTTGGAGTGTCGTTTCGATCACCTGCATTTCTTTGGGCTCGTTTCTGCTGATTGCGCATCGCCATGCTCTCACCAAGTGTGGGATATTGCATCTGCCAGTCTCTGTCCTTTGAAGGAGTTTTGATATCGGTCATCGAGCTGGCATTTCCCGGAGTCTGCCAAGCAGGTTTGGGATTCAACTTTGGGGCGTCAATTTGTGGACCAGTTGAGGGAATGGGTGGTGTGGTTGCCGGCTGTGCGGTGTCATTCAGTGTATCTTTGGGTGCATAATTGTGTGCAACTTGTGCCGAAGCAGGTGATATGGCTGCCACAGGTGCGGCATCATTCTTGCTTTCAGTTGCGATAGCGGGCGATGTGGATGCTGCCTCTGCACCATCACTCTGTATGGCATTTGCAAGAGCAGGCTGTGATGCCGCCGGTGTATCATCTCTCTCGACATCATCCACCGGGATGGATGATGCATCTGTCGCCTGCGCAGTTGTCCTCTTAGTATCAGGTACGGTAGTGGGCGACGTAGCTGCGACCGCCTGTGGCGGAGCTTCTGGCAATGGTGCATGTATGAGATCGATCCGCCATCCCCGGGAGCCCCTCCAAAGCTCGGGAATGCCTCCGACCAAATACGTCAAGTTCACGTCGGGCGCAGCGGCAATATAGTATCGGCGGCCTTCCTGGAAGTAGTATAGGTCGTATCGACACCCATTCCGTTCAAGCGCTTCCGCTATTTCTGCTCCCAATCTTGTGCGGTGTCCCTAAATTCGGCCATATCTTGGAAGAGTCAACTATAATCATCAGCTAAGACTCGAAGGCTGTGAGTAAATCCGCAGCGCTTTCCTCATACCGTGAGCAGCCAACAATGATAGTACGATTGGGAGCGGAGCTCTTCCGAGAAGCTTTCTAGACGAGCCGGTGGCCCTCCCCATACAGTTCGTTGACAATCGCAATGAGCGTTCAAAAAGGAGTCTCCCCAGTTTCGACACATGTTCGCTTCTGTTGTATAGCGATAGACGATAGCGATATCGTGCGGTGTCGAACCCTTGACTTGTGAAATTTGGCGCGTTCGGGAGCGCAAAAGACTGTGACACTCAGCGCGTCGCGGAGTGGAGCAAGAGGGAAGTGCAGGTAGGAGCCAAGCGTTGCCGAGCGACCCCCTCGTGGCTGCATTGTGTTCGCAAACGAGGACTTTGAACGGAGCAGTCACTACAGTCCCATCGATCGACTGCTTCCTGGTCACAGTATTGGCTGCCAGGCAGGTCCGATGATGCAGTATTGTTCGACTGTGAATGGTTCAACCAATAGTATTGTAGATTCGCCTCGTGGAGACCACCGCGCATCATGCACGAAGTATAGCAACAGTGGCCATCACCATTCACAATGGGGTTGAGTAGCCATGGACAGCATAAAAGAGCCAACGCCGGACAGCTCTTTCCTTCCAGTTTCAATAACATCACGAAGCGACCACCACCCAAGCATCACTTCCCCAAGCTCAGCCTCGCGCCAACTAGCAACAACCCAATCCAACCATGTCTCAAGGAGGAAGATACCACTGCTTCTATCGCCACCTCGGCTGCAACCGGTCTGTCCCGAAAAAGAATGAAGCTTGTGGTCCTTGCATGGTAAGTTGTGCTTGAGATTTGGATCTTGCAGATACTGACTTCATTGTACCAAGGCGATGGGCCGAAAACAGCCGAGAACAGGAACACAGCCACAACCATGATTCTCTTCCCTGATGGGCTCCTCGTTGTAGTCAGGAAATGATGCTACTGTCGCTACCGAATGGAGAGCAATGGCTGTGTTTCGTCTATCAGATAGGGTGTATTGAGAAGTGTTCATAGCCAGAAAATCGCTTCGACGCGCGTCCTGCCCATGAGCTCGGTATTTGCGTCTATAATGGCGCTCAGCGATGTTGTGGGTGGATCCGTCGTTCGTGGTCAGGTATCCAGCAACTCTGTCGCGATGCTCACAACTTCGACGGCACATCAACTCCAGCTTTCACCATCACCGCGGCTTTGTCATGCTTCCCCACACTGATAACCGCGCCATTATCTGCTCGCTTGATGATGCCTCTATGTAGCGATAGTGTCTTGCCAGTCGACAGCACTTCCACCTCGCACAACAGATCTGTCCCTTCAGGTGCCGGCCTCAGGTAAGTGCACTCCAGTGTCCTACTGACCCCACCATTCAACCAAAACCCTTTGATGCCAATCGCTTGCATTGCGAAACTGGTCAACATGTCGTAGATAGTAGCCTGGGCGCCGCCGTGAAGATTTCCCGAGATATTGCAGTAATATCGGGTCGCCTTGAAGCTGAAGACGGCCTTGCATGTTGTATCGCTCTGCTTGGTGAATGAAACTAATTTGACATCTTCTTCTGTAAATTGGCTGAGGAAACGAGGGTCCTCCGGGCATCTAATGGCCAGGATGGCGTTGATTCTTTCCTCTGGGCTCCTGTTTTCGAAGCCAGGAGCTGTTACGACGGCTCGATAGTAGTCCTCGAAGGACTTTCCCGGTGGTACCATGGTGGATCTGGAATCGTGTCGCAGTCTCTGGATCGCTGAGTGCACTGTCACTGCATCTACACGTGGCTCTATGTCTATATCTGGTGCGCGTCAGGAAGGCGTGTCGAAGGAGACGTGAAGTGTCCACAGCCTCGGGTCAGCAGCAGCCGCGGTAAGAGCGAGGCTTGGCGAGCGCGGTCAAACGTTCTGCCGCGCCGCTCTCGTCTACTTTCACCACACCACTTTGTCAGACATGCAGCGTGGGATTATTGACAAGCGCGTTCCAGATGACCTTTTGGATGCACCAGCACACCGGAACGAGACCAGGATTGTACAGCGGCCGATCAGCGATGTCGACATGACCGCGCATTACCGCAACGGGCCGCCCACGTGCAAGTGCATGCGCTTCTCGCGGTGTGCGTGATGAAATGGACGCGCCTCCGATGGCGGGCGCCTTTCTACTAACTAGTGACTTGGTGCTGCACGCGCGGGTGGGAGTGGGTCGCTGGCCGATGACTGCACGCACCCGATGACCGATTCGACTTCACTTCCCGTCATGCCTCTCTCCTCCTCCATCCTCTCTGACATTCTCTGTCACTTCCTTTCGTTGCGGGGTCTCGTCTTTACGCACGCTGTTTGCTGATCTTCGCCACTGACACGGAGATTCGAGATCTTCATCCGTCTTCAGGCTCGCGTGGGATTCGATGCCTGGTCATGAACGTGCGACGCGCCAGTGGTGAGGGAGACAAGGTCAGCCTCTCGCCACCATCTCACAGTCGAGAAGATGCCAATGTAGCATATCCAGCCAAGTCGGGACACCAGCAGGCTACAACTCGCGGACCTGAATCGTTCCTCTCGGCACCTCCAGCTGGTCCCGTTCGTCCTCTCTCACCAGATGCGCTATCCATACTATCAACAGAGGATTTCGAACAGATCCGACTGATTAGAAGGCCGAGCAGAACGAGCCAGGCTGATCATGGACTTCCCAAAGACCAGAGCCTGCGTGCCAGATTCAGAGCATCGTGGTTTCGGAACAAGGGCATCTTCCTCATGGTACTCGCTCAGTTCTTTGGCGTCTTGATGAATGTAACCACTCGGATTTTGGAAGTTGAGGGCAACCACGGAAATGGCCTGCACCCCTTCCAGATCTTGTTTGCTCGGATGGGCATCACAGCGCTACTTGCCATGGCGTACATGCATTGTGCCAAGACGCCTCACTTTCCCTTCGGAGCGCCCGAGGTTCGCTGGCTGCTTGTTGCCAGAGGATTCTTCGGCTTCTTTGGTATGTTGTCCGCACGGACTTACTTTACAAGGGACGACCGCTGACTATCTTCACCATCAATGTAGGCGTCTTCGGGATGTACTACTCGCTTCTCTATCTGCCGCTGGCCGATGCGGTCGTGATCACTTTTCTTGCTCCTGGACTCTCCTGCTGGGTGTGCTCTAAGCTGATCAACGAACCCTTCACCAGAGCTGAGATGATTGGAACGTTCGTATCTTTAGTCGGTGTGTTGTTCATCGCTCATCCAGCTTCCCTCTTCAACGCCATTCGCAATGCAGCGGATGAGCCACCTGCGGGCAGTCCTGGCGATGCATCGCCGTCTCAGCCAGATGCTGGCGATTACGATAATGTCACGCCAATTCAACGTCTGGCTGGTGTAGGTGTTGCACTTGTGGGGGTCTGCGGAGCCACGGGCGCCTTCACCACAATCAGATGGATCGGGAAGAGAGCTCATCCGCTTATCAGCGTCAACTATTTCGCTGTGTGGTGTACGTTAATTAGCATCGTCATGCAGCTTGCGTTGCCCAGCATTGGCTTTCTGCTGCCTTCCGGAATGAAGGAGTGGGGACTTCTGTTCTTCCTTGGAGTGTGTGGGTTTGTCATGGTAAGTGTTAATCCTGGCGTAAAGTGACGATGACGCGGCTGACAGCGAACTGTAGCAATTCTTGCTTGCCGCTGCGTTGTCCTACGAGAAGTCTTCACGGGTCACAAACATGACCTATACGCAAATGCTCTTTGCCATCGCCTTCGAGAAGCTGGCCTTCGGCCACACACCTGGCATCTTATCCATAATTGGCTCGAGCTTGATCCTGGGATCCGCGATCGTTGTTGCTTTCCAGAGAAACTCAAACGATACCAAGGAGCAGACTGTAGGCAGTGGCGGGAGAAACGATGAAGAAGCACAGAGGGGGCTGATGACAGATGTTGAGCCCAGCGGCGGCTTCGAACAGATGTCGCTGCAAGAAGCCCAGGTAAGAACATCGCGCTGAATGAATGGAACACAATGACAATTACAAGAAGCATGAAACGCACGATAGAGTAAACATTAGCGGGCTGCTTTGGTGTTGCAAATAGGTTGAAAGTGCCGTAGTGCCCAGAACGCATTTTGACACCCAGCCCGGCCAGCGGGCCGTCTTCAAAATTCACACTCGCTCGCAATACACAATGCATGTACCTCGGAGAGCGGATTGATGGAAGCCCGCGCGCCCTTCAGAGTGTTATGGCGACCTTGGTATCCAATCCTCAGTATCTCGCTCATGACTTTCCGGTTCTGGTGTTGCTTTCGACCGAATCATTGCCGCCGCAAAGCTTCCAAATCGGCCGTAGCGCTTCCGCACGAATGCGCATAGGAGAGTGTTTGCATTCGCTATACGTCGGGACCAGTCATGCATATCCCCCGGAGGTCGACTTCTCCATAATGGCCAATTTGCTCGGGTCGCATCGTCCATGGACAACCAGAGATCCTGTGTCTTTTTCTGGGAGAAAGAGAATGAACATCCAAGAATCATCCAAACTTTGGACATGAAACAGGCTTTGGCGGCATCCTTCTCTTCTGTGCACCACCTCACTCTTGGCTTTCCCCACCACCAAGGACGAAATTCCACGACAGCTTTGAAAGTCTTAGCGAAGGGTGTCGATCCCAAAGGCCCAGAAACCGCGTGAACACAGCCGCTTGTACCGTATGCGATGTGAACAAGCAGGCGATTGACTACCATATCAATCGGAATCTCGTCAAACTTTGCATTTGCCGGATCTGCTATGTGGCATGCGAAGCGTGCTCTCACAGGTGGACTTGCAAGAATGAAAGCCAGCATAGAAGAGCCGGGCGCGGAACCGGCCACTTCGAATTGTGGGAAAGGCTCACGCTCTGCCGGTCCGAAGATTGAAGGGCGAAATATCATCAATGCGTGTTCCAATCCAGCCTTTTTGAACGTTTCCAGCAGCAAGCGTTCCGTCAAATGCTTGGCGTATGAATACGCGTAAGGGTGGGGAATACAGCTGTACTCTGGCGTCGTTCCGAATTCGAGGAGGTTCTTCAGCTCTGCAGCGGAACTGTCAACAGAATCATCGCTGCGTAGAGGATAGGTACGCTCTTCGACTCGGCATTCTGAGATCGATCCACCTTTACTCGCCTGAAAGTGTAAGAAGGCATTGACGTACGCCGTGGAGACGTACACAAATCTTTCAAGGCGCGCACAACTGATGGCGAGCTTCGCGGCCTCGAGTGATGACAAAATAATGTCCTTGGTTGTATGCTCCACTTTCTGTTTGAGATTGATCGTGGAAGCTGCATGGATGAATATTGTCACCACTCGCTGAAGAAGAGTGATGATCTCCTGTTGCAGGCCTAGTTGCGGACATGTGATGTCTCCACGCATGACAACAATCTTCTTGCTACTACGCACATTTTCTACAAGTGCTGCAGGAAGGTATTGTCGCATGCGGGTCCAGAATCGTTCTTACTGCAGTCAGCAGGCGGTGGGAAGGATTGAGCGGATCGGCACACGTACCTGAGCCTCCACGGACAAGTACGTAAGTTCGATCAATCGTTGTGTCAAGTGTCATCTTGACAACTAGTGCTATCCCAAGCATACCTGTGGCGCCGGTGAGGAATACCACTTTGCCATGTAGTGCATCGTTCACGCGGTCGTTATTCTTCTCAGAGACAACCTTTTCCAGATTCCACCCGGAAGAATCGCTTTCCATCATCGACGAAAGATTTTTGAGTAATCATCGCTCGAATATCTGTCTACCGATCAAGGACAGAGAGCGTCTTTGAACGAACGCGAACGACCTTCGATAAGCTAGCTGTCGTCAAGGGACTGCATGGTGAAGCAAATCGATTTCTGTGAGCAAGCCCATTTGAGCCGCGGGACTATCAGGGTCTGTGAAGAAGGGGATCCCTCGAGCTGTTGGTATGATCAAGGTTCTGCTAGGTCTTGTCAAGTTCTCCGGGGGCTAGGGAGAAGACAATATGACGGATCAATGAGAAGGCCGGGCAGCCGAGACGCGGGTCTCGGATGCTCAGCGACTGACGTGACTGGAATTGAGCCAACTTAAATACTGGAAACGATTGCAAAAGCTGGTGGATTACGCCAACTGATTCGAGCAGATCGAATCGTTCGCTACCTCAGCTGGAAGTGCTCTCTGCAGTTGCTGGATTCCCGAATGAGATTGACTGCATGCTAAAACGCTGACAAGAACCTACTTTTCTCCACGTCACTCCAAGTTAACGTGAGCCTACGGACGCGTGACAACGACGCCAAGTGCCTTAGAAGAATCATGCCTCAACCAATGCTTCGATCATCCGCGAATGCTCAACTGTATTCGATGGGACCAGTCTGGTAACCACCACAAGCATGATTGCAGATTCTCCAGCTTCATGGATTTCTTAAGATCCAGAAGCCACGGTGCTCTTTGGTGCAGGTGTGCTAGCCGTCTAGGAAGAAGTGTCTAACCAGATTTGTGAGATGTCAGACTCAACGCATAGGGCTGCATCGACCTCGCAACGAATGCATGAGCCTCCTTTGTGCTTGAGGCCAGGATACGCGTCGAGGCTGTTGGCGGCTGTTGGTTTCAGCAAGCATTCAATCGGACCGTGCTCGTAGATCGCTCAAAAGGTCGTTCCTCACGAAGCTTGCAATAGGATGTTCCTGGCATCATAGGCAGTTTCTCCACAACCTCAGGATCGTGACGGCGGCTGTACCGGCTAGACTCCTTATATGTGCTTTTTCGTATGAGTGCCTTTGCCTAAACGAGCAATGTGTATGGGGGTCCGTCTCGGCAGTAGAAGTGAAACTTTGCATCCGGCAATCCTATTGCACTTCACCCTGCAGCTTGCCCAGCACGGGTGTCTTCATTGGTCATGCAGATCTACCGCAAAGCTGAAATGTTTGCAGCATACGAACCTCGACAATGTCGAAAAGCGCACCGCCGAAGCTCATGCCCCATGGCCGTCGTGCAACTTCCACAAACTAGGGTTTCGATGGAGAAATAGGCTACGAGGATCGACATCCTTCACTCGATGGCTGACCTCGGTCAAAGGTTGCTACGTTAATGATGTGCTCGCCCGCATCCTGTAGGGTGGTTGAACATCGAAGACACTAGGTGCAGCGACGCCGACATAATAGACAATACACACGCGGTGAAATTCCTCGGTAAAGTGACCATGACGTGGCTGCAAGGGAGTTGCGTTGCACTTGTATTCAACTTGGTTGCACGAAGAAATCTGCAAGAGTCTGTTGATGTGCAAGAAAGACAAGAATCTGGACGAAGTGCAAAGCCTGTCAGTCCTGGGTCAAACTATGGCGTGTCCCAGGCTGGACCGAAAGACTGCAATGCTTCCATTTCAGCCACCCCGAATTCGATGAGAAATGGTCAGTCCACTGCCGTCCAAGAATGGCCGACCATCAAGAAGATTGCCATCGCTGGCATTATATGCCTGTACACGTGAGTACTTCCGAGAGTAGTTGACACTCAGAACTGACCAATGTCAGGTTTGCCGTATACGCTTCGTCGGCCATTTACATCATCGGTATACCTGATATAATGCTCGAGTTCAACGTCACGGAGCAAGGCGCACTTTTAGGCTTGTCTCTTTTCGTGCTAGCATGTATGTATTAGTGCAATGCGTATGCTATTGGTGCTTACTCTGTTTTCACAGACGGTTTCGGTCCCTTACTCTGGGCACCACTGAGTGAGCTGGACTTTATCGGGAGGAGCCCAGTCTACGGATTCACTTTCATCATTTTTCTGGGCTCAAGTATCCTTGCCGCAACCGCGCAGACCTGGACTACATTTTTGATCTTGAGATTCCTACAAGGTTTCTTTGGAAGCCCGTGCCTCGCGAATGGAGGTGCTTCTATGCATGATTTGTTTCCAGACATGACGCTTCCTTATTCCCTGGCTGTCTGGATCGCCGCTGCGTACTGCGGCCCAGCTCTCGGGCCCTTGATCTCGGGATTCTTAGTTCCACAGGAGGGATGGCGATACGGTATGTGGGAGATTGTATGGATGACCGCTCCGACCTTGATCTTAGTGCTCCTGTTGCCAGAGACGTATGATCCAGCGACCAAGATACGAAACAACAGAAGACAATCCGTTCTCAGTGTGCAGAACACAGACGCTACCTACGGCGTCCATCAGAACCGACTACGACTTGTTTACCAGACAATGCGAAATGCGATCGTCAAGCCAGTACAAATCACACTTCAAGATCCGGCAGTCACGGTCGCCAATCTCTACACTTCGTTCGTCTACGGGTCGTACTATACGTTCTTTGACGCTTTCCCACGGGTATACCTGTTCAGGTACTACTTCACGTTCGGAGAACTTGGCCTTGCATTCTTGAGCATCTTTGTGGCTTGCCTACTAGGAGGGAGTCTTTACTTCTGTTACATCAAGTGGATTCACAAAAGGGAACTTCGCCAAGAAGGAGTAAAACCTCACGAAGAATGCCTCCGTCCTGCACTGGTAGCTTGTGTGCTTCCTCCAATTGGGCTATTCCTGTTCGGTTGGACAGCACATCGAAGCATACACTGGATTGTCAGTCTGTTAGGTGTGACGATCTACGCCACCGGAGTCTACATCATTCTGCAATGCTTGAGCGTGTATCTGCCACGCATTTATCCTCGCTACGCGGCCAGTCTGTTTGCCGCAAATGATTTGTGCCGATCTGTTGCGGCTGCCGGGCTGTTACATGCCGGTAATCCTTTGTATGGAAGGCTCGGAATAGAGAAGGGTATCTCGGTGCTGGGAGCAATAAGTGTGCTCGGGATACCGGGAATGTGGTTTATTTACTTGCAAGGTCCGACGTTGCGAGCAAGATCTCGTTTTGTCAAGAAGTGAGTCCGAGATTCCGCCATGTGCTCGAGAAACGACAGATCAAGTGACTTCGGCCACCAACGCCCCGTGTCTGGTTGTAAAGGCCCCGGGTCATTCTGATGTGACTGACGCTTCGTCGAAACCAGACTTTCAGCCAACTCGGATTTTGCAACTTTTTTAGGCATCGCTGGCTGGATTTGCTCAACAAAGACGGTGGAGCAGCCCAACGACTCCATAGCAGTAGTTTGCATTCGAGGTACACTTGCGTCAGTCACATTCGCTCGCAGGCATGCTAGCATATGGAGTCACGGCATCGAAATGTGTGTGTGAAAGCAAGTTCCAATCTCATTTCCATTTCCATTTCCATTTCCTTACTGCATGCTGAGCTCCTTGGCTTTATCGATGAGAAGAGGTAATTCGACCTCGCCATTCTGAGATAAGGTTAATAATACAGATTCCGGGTCCGTAGCCTCTCGGTGGACCGCTCCGTAGCGGGGCCAGTTGCCCTTGTATCCGCTCGCAAATTAGAAGCATACACATCGCAGCCCGCTGTATATGCAGTCAAATTTCATCACCCACTGATATGTCCTCCCTCGGTTCCAGAACAAATTGCCCAAATCAATCCACATGCCCGAATATCATTTCCCGCTGCCGCCGCCTGACGCCGAACGCTAGAGTCAAAGCAAAAACAAAAAGAAATCAGTACTCACCTACGGCAAGGCGTACTCGCCACGCTCAAACATCTCCGCATCCCAGTAACAAGCTTCCACCTTGTTGTCTGCGAATTCGGTCCCGTCCATTCCCTGTCAATGTGTGAGTGAACCTGCGTCAACGGAAGGGGCGCATTGATGTTACCTTCAAGCAACGCACGGCACTCAGCGGCGAGGTGAACTTCACGAACACCTCATCGTTGCCTCCGTCCTTCTTGCGCCAGATATACAGCCGCTCCACCTTCCCATACTGCTCTCCCATCTCGTCCCCAATCTCTTGCATCAAATTGTTCTCCGCAATCTCGTGGTCAACGTCCATATTTTCGAGCATTCCAGACAGCTTCACAACCGGAGACATGTCTTCGAGCTCGCTGGAAGGGCCTTGATTGGAGCTTTCACCAGGTTTTGGCTTCGCTTTCTTGCCGCCGACGATCTTGCCCATGGCAGCTGGAGTAGCAAACCCGCCGCCCTGAGCATCCGACTTCTTCTTGCGCTTCTGAGCTTGCATCTGCAAAGCGGTCGTAATGCCGTCACCAGATGCACCAAGACCTTGACCCTTCTCCCAACCAAGTTTCTTCATCAGACGTTCAGCAAAACCATCTTGGCCAGGGCGGTTCGTACGTTCCTCGGCTTCTTCACGCGATTGAGCGTTCTGATCAGATGAGATGGTACTCGTCTGTTGATGTTGTTGAGCGAGATACTCAGGATTGAAGGTCGGAGCAGCACTGATCGTTCCACCGACGCCCGGTTGTGGAGTGACTGTAGGGGCATCCAGCCAAGCGGCATCGTATCTCGGAGCAGAGACTGCTGGTTGTCCATTGGCGGTCGGAGGCGGTGGTTGAAGAGCCGTAGAGCTGTATTGAGTAGTCGGCGGCGCAACGGTGGGAGCAGACGGCGGAGTAGGCGTGGGGCCTTCTGTTGATGGTGTTGCAGCAGGAGCAGGTTTGCTGAACTTTGCTTTCATGGCTGCGATCTGCGCTGCTACTCTCGCCTTCTTGTCCGCGTCAGGATCTGATGACGTAGAGCCTAATGCAGCAGGAGGTGAAGCAGACGCCGGAGTGATGCCAGGTGCTGCTGGACGCGCTGGCGGCGGCGGAGGTGGAGCGAAGGATGGGGCTGGTGGAGCAGCCAAGCTGCTCATGGCCATGCGTCGAGCGTAAGCTTCGTCGGCTGTCTCTTCCATGTTGACGTCTGCAGCCGGTGGGGGTGGCGCATAGGCTGCTGTTGGTTCACCGGACTCACGCCCACTGCTCGCATCGCGAAGAGGAGAGGATGCGCCAGAGTACGGATCGTTCGACCGCTGCTGTGAGCGCGAGCGCGAGTCGAAAGAAGGAGGCGGTGCGAAGGACATCTGACCTGGTGGGGCGAACTGCATGCCCTTGCGCGAACCTGCCATTGGTTAGTGACAGCCAGTTTAGTGACACAATCCGCCAGAAGTGGCAGACCAGACTCACGTGGGCCTCCATCCATGTCAACATCACCAGACCTCTCGTACTTGCCCTGGCGAATCTTCTCGCGCTTGTTGGCCTCATATAATCTCTGTTTCCACTCCTCTTCGAGATCGTAGTGGAAGTCGGACCGGGCGAATTCGGCAATTGGCACAGGTACAGTCGGGTCATATATGTCATCCCACGAGCGCACTTTCTCTTCGTACTTGTTCTTCTTCTTGTTCTTCTTCTTCGCCTTGCGCTGTTCTCGTTCCTGCTGCTGACGGTCGTACACCCAGTCCATCTCCTCGTCGTTGGCCAACCAGTCCTCGTAACCGCGCGTCTGTGTAAGTTTTGGACCGGATTGCGGCGGTGCTCCTGGCGCGTCTGAGGATGGCTCTGTTGGTTGGGCTGCCGACTGGGTCGATGTGCTGGAGGAGAGTTTGTGCATGGCCGAAAAGTTGGGTTTCTTGGCCGGCTTCTGTTGGGCCTTCTTGTTGCCGCCAATGTTTGTCGGCTTGAACATGAGTGATGCTTTACAAGGCAAAGTGAGCTGTGGTCAGGAAGCAGTAAGGAAATACAATGGACTCTACCGTCTTTGGCCTTTTTGGCCTGCTGCGCCGCCTGCTTCTCGGCGTCTTTGGCGCGCATCTGGGCGAGGGACTCCTCACTAAGGAGGTCCTCATACAAGGTCAGACGACCCTTTTTTGGTGCTGGTTCTGCCATCTCGACGATGCGTGCGAGGTGGTCGTTGTCGCGATGGGTTGCGCTTGCGGAGGTGAGCTTCGAAGTTCTGGAGACGCGACGGCGCTAGTGATGTCAGCCAATCGGGTGTAGCCCTCATCTTGAAGCCTGAGGCTTCAATATCTCTCGCGGCTCCTTCACTTCACTTCACTCTCTCGGATCCATACAATGAGAGCTCCTTCAAGATACACACATTCGGCAGCATGGCAGCGCCTACAATTCCCCGAGCTTGAGCAGTCTGCATCTACCGTGCACGCTCGTCATCGCACACATGAGATCGAAAAGCCTACTGTAAACCAACGACACAATGGTCATGTAGCGATAACATTCCGTGACTCTGATAGCATGCTTTGCAAGAGCTCGTGAGCATATGCTGTTCCGTGGGCGTTGTGCCTTTCCGGACCAGATAATACAGCTGACGATGTCATCAGAAAATGTGGTGAGATGGCCATCATTCCGATGGCTCCAGTATCCGAATAGCGAAAATCAAGGCACCAGTCTGCCCATAGAGCTCCTTCGCAAGCCGTGGCCTCGCTGAGGGATCCAGGTGAGAGATATCTCCACGACACGCTTGAAGAGTCCTCTCAGATGATCGAAGTATCGTTATCACAGGTCAGCCTCTCCTTCATGAGCCTTGTGATCGCCTTCCATGACACTCTCTCTGTATTGCAATACCGCGAGGCGAGGGTCATATTTCGCGCTGCTGGCTTGATCATGTTTCTGTGCACGAGACTCGTGGTGACCGCCCATCAATGGACCACGTAGGCCCCTTACACATCATGTTCTGCCTGCTGCAGCTGGTGACTGGCCTTCTCAGGGATTACCATATGTTCGACTCTGAAGATCTTCACGTGCCAATGGACCTCACCTGTCATGCTTGCTTGGCCTAGTGACTTGGCTGTCCATGAGAGGCATCACATTCGCTCTCTATTGGTCCACAGTCCTCATCAATGCGGCATATTCTGTTTGCTGAGCTGGCATGACATCTATCTTTCAGAGACAGCACATGCTCTCTGTCCATTTTCTGTTTGTTTGGAGTGCACCTGGGCATGTCAGCCTCTGATTGCTTGGCCCAGTGACAATGTTCTCGGAGGGAGAGTCAGAGGAATATGAGCTCCTCGTCCCAGCATAAGAGGAGCGTTCTCACCCTCCTCATTTCCACTTTCTCTTCCCATCAAACCGCAATGTAAGTTCCCCATCCACACGCAATCGACTCTCACTTTGTCAAACACTGACATATACTCACTCATAGCCTTGGCTCTCTGAGAATCATGCGTCTCGCAAAGCCATCCATGATCACGGCGGTACTTCTGCTCCTCTTCCTGGCCGGGCTGAGTGATGCCATTGCTCTGCCCAACGCGGCCATACTTCACAACACTACTTCATGTGCTTCTCCGAATCGAACCCACATTCAACGCTCTCCAATCTCCAAACGCGTCAATCCCGCCCTGGTCGCCGCCTGGGAAGCCGCGGAGATTGCTGACAATGCAAAACTCGATCGTCTCGCTGTCTATGGCGGAGGCTTCTTCAATGCGATCATCATGGGCAACGTGGAACAGGCGGCTGCGCTGTTCCAACATAAAAATCGCGGTACGCCAGATCCACGCAACCAGAATTTTCAAGTTTTTGCCAGAAATTTTGCACCAGCGATTCGGAATGAATGGACCATAGAAATGGTCAGCGACGACTTGTCCGAAACTCTGAAGCCATTGCAGCCTTTAATCGAAGGTCAAACTGTTGGATACCCGCAGGGCAGTGAACCACCGGGTCTTCAGTGGCAGACTCAACGGAGTGCGAACGGCGAGGCATACCCTGATGGTCAAAATGTATGCATGAAATTTGTGCAGAACCAACCTTTCAACGACAAGGATGAAGCAGAGAGACCAGTAAGTCATATGGTTCAATGTAAGATTTGATACTGACTGCGGCCAGCCAACTCTCGGACAGTTCAGGACCTGGTTCAATGTCGTGGATGGCATAATCGTGGTCAATTCGGCTCATGGACCGTTGTACATGGCAAAAAACCACCCTGGTAGAGACCCAAGTTGGGATGAAAGCGAAGAACCCCCTACTCACAAACAAATGCCATGGTCTGAACACTGGTCCGATCTCACCTTTCACGCCTGGATGACTCTCGTGCGTCGTCCAGCGAGCACGGGTTGGAACGTGAATACACCCGGCGTTCGCATGAACGGGCGGATGAGGACGTCAACAGAATTGAGGCAAGTCTTGAACTACATCATCGTCCAAGGCATAATACTTCCGATAGACGCCATATCCGTCATGAAGAGATGCTTGCAAAGCCGGAGAGGCAACACAGACATCCCGATCTGGCCCGACCGGGAACGCTTTGACGTCGGTCATTGGTGCTTCTACGCTCTACTTGCCGCCCAAGACGGTATTGGCAGTGGAATTACGTACTTTCTCGCTCAGCACAAATCGGACGTCAATATCCCACTCAGTTTCGGCATGGGCCACAAGATACTGTCATATGTGGAGATAACTTCTGCCAAGGAACCCGATCGCGAATGGGTCAAACTTGCCACGCAGAGCAACATAGCGTATTACTACAACATTCGCACCAGGCAAACTGTCTGGCAAAAGCCAGACGAGTATGTCGAGCCCAACCCTGCCAACGACCATTTCTTCTGGGCTCCTACACAGATCTGGAAGGTCATCGACTTTGACAGGAATGTTGTCACTGCTGCACGAGCCAGAGAGGCTTCGTGGACGGGAGGAAGGAAGCTGCCCCCGTATCAGTACTGCAACATACCGGCGGCGATCGCATGATAATCGTCATCGATATTTCCTTCGTTGACGCGGAGATGTGGTACGAGGTTTACTTGTTGGACGGAGGGCAAACAATTCTGATCGAGCCGGTCGTGTATGTGTACTGCTTTGATCTGTGGAGCTTGCACGATTTCTCTACCCTGCTGGTTTGTGTTGGTGCAGTGTACAATTAGCGAGAGCGGCCGGTCATTCCTCACTATGTTTGTGTACTGGCGACAAATGTCAATGGCAATTTATGTACGAGATTTGCCAAATCCACATAGACTGGCATCTCATTACTCCATAAATTCGTCTCTCATTTCATTACGAAATAGAGCTAACGGACTAATTGAGGCACTCAGCCAGCCAGCCATGGCCTTGCAGGCCCCACATGTATTCCAGACAGCGTTGTACATGTCCCACGAGAACGAGAGATCAAGTCTAGACCTGTGCCAATGTAGTGAATCCATCGACCATAATGTCTTTATATATTTCATCCACTACTACAAAGCCCTCTACTAGCGGTCAGACGTCAATGGCCAGGTAATTCTCAGCGTCCTGAAGATCGAAGGTCTAGCTCACATGTTTCAAGCCAATGCGGAACAAAGCAGTTGCATCGTTGGAGAGGCTCTGCAGCCAGTCATTCCGCTACGGTCATTGGATGTAGCCAGTTGACGCATACCCTCCGACAATGAGGCACCGGGCCTGGACCATGCGGATGTCACAGCCATCGGCAAGCCGTCTACATGTATTCCTGACACGCCACTCCGAGAACATCAACTAGCTGTCAGACCTCGACGACCAAGGAATTTTCCATTGATCTCCGGAGTCCGACTGGTGCTACACCGATTCTGCATCATTTGTACTGTACCTGCTGGCTAGACGAGCGATAGTAACGTGGCTTGCGTTCTAGTCATTGGGGCTCAAGGACATCAAAATCTGCGAATCTGTGGCAGAATCTGTGAGTGACTCGTCTGCAGATAGTACAATTGACGAAATGGCTTTGGTCTTGATAGACAAAGATGTGTTCCATAAATTCACCCATATGCAAAATGACCACAAGTCTTCATCTCCTGCTCTTCTCTGATTCCCCGATCGTGATCGTGATCAAGGTGTCATATCAGACAGCAGGTCTCAGATCGAGGTCGCACATGTGCCGGCGTGGAGGCTCGAGTGTAACGACAGGAACTAGCTGTGTGAGCTTAGCATCCACTGATATTTCTACATCACCTCACCGCTTCCTCATGATCATGGAGCCACGGCAGCCATTGTGACTATCTTTGCTGATTGGACGCTATTTCGAATGAGCGTCAGCCATGCACGTAGTGGCTGCTTGGGCGAGAGGCTCATATTCCTTTCCGAGACAGCTGAGCGTATTGTGCTCGTGCAACTGCAGCTGGGATTTTCCGTTCAGTTTCTTGATCCTCATTGACTGCATCGTGTCGGTAATCAGAGCTTCATCCTCCTGTGTATGATCATCAACTAGTTGTAAGACATCAGCATCCACTTGTCTGCTCGTAAGTTGACCGCTCTTGCTGGTAACTCGCTCAACCCAGATTCCCAGCTCTGAATATTCATGCTCATTCGCCCACGCGCAGTGGCGGCGCCATGGGAAACGCGCAAAACGTCGACAACAGTCAGCCGTGCAACTTGAGTGACGAGTCATCTGCTTGCACCTGTCGAAACAACATTCAATCGTGCACAACGATTAGACCACGGCATAGACTCTAACCGCACAAGTCTCTTCAATGGCCATGCTTGCCGAACGGGTCTCCTTCCAGTGATCTGCCTCCCGCGGACCGATCTGGCGAAAGTGACCGACAACTCACTGCTGTCAAAGCATTGCTATTGTTGATGTGCGAGTTTACTCGTCACCACCTGTCTAGTGTACAACCGAGATATATCGTGTATCGCCGTCAAAGTCCCAGACGTTCACAGCGTATAGATGAAGTCAGGCCGCTTGTCCCCTTGCACAACGATCTGATCCGCCGTCATGCCATCGAGCATATTGTCTCTTTCTCCAGACCTCCGCTTCTTGTTCTCTCGTGCCAGCTTAGCGCGAGTTAGGGAAGCTACTACAAGCTCGCAGATTACAACATAGGCAATGATGACTGCGTGTCCAGTCCGGTATCGAGGCTTCTCGGATTTCATGTAAATATTGCAGGACACGATGCCATTGATGTTGCCCATGCCGACGATGATGCCAATCAAGACACCTCGTTTGTACGTGCCTTCGGTGTTGTTCGCGGCCCAAGTGATGTTGTTCGGCAGGGCAGGATAGATGCCCATGGCGCCGAGGAAGGTTGCCGCATACTGGACATGAGGTTTGCCACTTGCGAGGAGCATGCTGAAACCGGCGACAGCGAGGCAAGAAATTCCCAAGGTACAAAAGCCACGTTGTTTTGTTCGGTCAGCCAGCCAACCAACGAAGATGGTCAGACATGCCGCCACGGCATATGGAGGGACGGTCAACAGCTGAGCATGGGTGCCTTCGTAGCCCATGCCTGCTACAATGGTTGGTAAGAACAGACTGAAGGCGTATAGTGGCATGAATGTGCCCATGTTTAGAAGAGAGTGTGCCCATGTCTTCCAGTCTCGAAGAGCAGCATAGATGTGGCGTCTGTCGAATTGTTCTCCGGATCCGGCCTGGTTGTCAGAGGCAAGACGATATCGAACACGAAGGCGCTCATCATGGGTTAGGAAGCGAGCAGTTGCAGGCTGTTGCCGGATGGTTAGTCAATGTGCGCCGATGATGTGTCCTGACAGAATCTTACCCAGTCGAAGACCATCCACCAGCAAAATATACCAGCGACGATAGTTGCGAGACCCTCGAGGATGAAGATCCTGTGACGCATCAGTAAAGCCTCCGAAATGTGGAATACTAGATGCTTACCATGCCCAGCCAGGCTTGCCGCCTATACCATGCATATTCGCTATTGCTGCGGCTAAGAGGCCTCCAAAGGATCCTGCAAGCGCTGCCATCGCGAAGAATGTTGCCAGTCTCACACCAAGTTCAGAGCGCCTGTACCAGCAGGACAGGTAATATTGCACACCGGCTGCCTTGTGTCAGCACAAAGGTGACTTTTGGAATTCTGCACCGACACCACTTACGGTAAAGTCCAGCTTCTGTGATGCCGAGGAACCATCTGGCCGCGAGTAGCCCATGATAGCTAGTGACAAATCCAGTACACATCATACACAGTCCCTAGAGAATGTTAGGCACGATCATGAATTCTCCAGAAACGTGTCTTGCCCACCCAGCTTGTTACGATCGAAGTGAAGAATATCCGAGGTCCAACTTTCTTCATGAGCACTGCATCGCGATCAGTTCATCGGTACCTGGCAAATTGGGAGGACATTGCTCACGATTGGTGAAGGGTTCAGCGCCGGCGTATGCGATGAAGAAGACGGTCAATGCGGTGTTGTAATCACGCCCTTCCATTCCCAGATCTTTCTCCATTCCCGTGAGCCTAGCATTGCCTGCTCCGTGTTAGACTCTCGTCGCGAGATCGTATGCGTCTACTGACCAATGTTCGTTCTGTCGAGGAAGCAGAGCAGGTACATGAGGCAGAACCATGGCATGATCCATGCGTCGATCTTCCTCAAGACATGTTTGTCCTGGAGTGCTGTATTAGTGAGGCCATTTACACTAAGACTCTGATACTCACCAATGCTACCCTCTCGGCCTCGGATATGTCGCCATCTGGGCCATCGAGGGGATTCTGACCCAGAGGCTTCAGCTGGAAGCTTTCGGCGGATGGCGTGCTGCCATTGGAAATCTCCTTCTCTTTGATGTACCCGGGCTTGGCGTGCAACATGATTCTCTTGGTATACAGCAGCAGGAAAGACGAGCGCGCGGGGGTCGATCGGGGCATATGCTTTATACGCGTTTGGAGGAAATCCCGTTTGCAGGCTCGTGTGTTCACGGATCACATCTTAGGCTTCAGAGAGCTACCCCGGACCCTCACCATCCGCCATGGAGCCATGCATCTGGCGAACCTTTTTGGAAGGCGCACTCAATATCCAACCACTGCTGCATGCTGCGACAGTGCAGACGCACGCTCCAGCGAGTGGTGTTCGTCTCGGGCGCCCTGCCCAGTTTTCTCAGGGCGTTGAATGGAGCAGCCATGAGCGGTGGAGGATTTGGCACTGCGGGTTGAACATGCTGCACATGGGGCTGAATGTTTGCATGAGCTGATCCGATCGTAGGATCTTGTGATGCGAGCTCAGAACACGCTTACGCCGGGAGGGTTGCGAGCAGGCTTCCCTTCGGCCATTGATATGAAGCCCACGTGTCGCACAAAGGATGGAGTGGCTTTCGAGCTGGAAGTCTTGTGCAACTTGGCAGCTTCGTCAAGACGAGCAAAGCTTTGGACTGGACATGGAGGTGTGGTCTCGGACGAGGATGGCCCAGGAGGCGAACCAGATGAAGAAAGTGGACAATTATGAGCTCCGGAAATACCCACCAATCGCGTACAGCCTTGGCTCTTCATGAACACTTTCCCGTTCAACTTCGGAATGGTCCTCGCTTCGAAAACGACTATCGATGGCATCGATCACGATGTTGCTATCAGTCACGATTGAAAATCGGAATGGATTCTGCATCAATGTGACTCGATGCTCGGTATGCAGCTGCTGACAAGTCCCGCTGCGAGCTATGCGAAGTACGATGGGTACGACGGCGCTCACTCACGAGAAAGAATTGGGTTCCACAGCAGCAAACAGTATTCAACGCGAAGATGATTGGTGATTGGAACCGTGCTTCACTGTGTGCGTTCGTAATGGAACACAAGGTGCTTGCAATATCAAAGGACTCCTGGTGATAAAGCTGGGGATCCATGCCACAAAAACTCGGCTCATATCGGGCAGGCGCACTCCTTTTTACAGTACAGTAGCGCTCGCGTGCGGCTCTGGCCATCACGCCAGCCTGTCGATGATGCGATTGTTCTTAATCAGCAGCATGACCTTGTCCAGGAGTGGAGCCTGGGTGCGAGATCGCAAGCTTCTTCCAAGCGTTGCTTGTTTTCAGCCCACCATCCCCAGACTTCAGAATAGGAGAAATGGTATGCGCACGACGAAGACTCCAGACGCCATGAAGATCATTCTCTCGCTCTCCTGGCAATCCTGGAACCTCCACGCGGCAGCACAATTTGGAACCCGCGTTCACATGTGCGCACGTGGAATCAGCCTAGTTGTTTCTCGATCGAGGGAAGCCCGCAAGCCGTCAATTGGAATTTGGGAAGAAAGGATTCGCCTGTAAGCTTTGATCAAATTCTCGCAGAATGCCCGATGTTGCAAGTCTCCACTTCCAAGGTAGTCGCCGGTGTTCGTGCCGCATGTTAGCCATTATCGCGTCAGAGCCTGAAATGTTTGAGCAGAAAGTACTCCCAGAAGAAGTCTATGTTGGCAAAATGTACGCCTCTGGAGCCGAGCCTGATTGAAGCGAGGAAAGCTGCCGATGATCAGGAGCGCAGCCACTTCGAAGGTCACTGCCGACTGGGCAGACATGATCGACATGGAAAGAGACAGCCTCTACTCAGGTAAGCGCTCGTTGGAAGCACGGAAAGGTCTTGCTGAATTTCATCCCTACAGAAAATCATGTCAATCACTCTCACTTGAACTACGCAAACAAAAATTATCTGACGCTGTTCGTTGCCGAATCTGTTCTTCTGCCATCACCAACGCCCAAACGGAAAGCAAATTGTTGCCAACCCGGCTTCCCGCGATGACATACATCACCTGTAACGACCGGCATTACATTCCAAAACAGCGCACCACACCGCAACAGTACAGCAGTATCCTTCACAATTCAGCATTTATCGTCGCTGCTGCGCGGCCTGTCGAAGTTGCTGTTGCAGTTTCTGTTTGGCCTCTCTTTTGCTCTTCAAGAGGCCCTCAATCTTGTCCAGATTTCGGCGGTAGTGATCTCTGGAATCTTTCCACTTTGTAAGTTCATGTCTGCGGATTTATTGCGCTATGGCAAAGCTCTGTCAGCGTTACGTTGCACTGAGCGACTGCACGGAGAATTACCGTCGTAGGCCTTCGCTGGAATCACTTTGTTCCTGTAATGGTCCACTCTATTAATGCTGTCCTGTAACTTTGCTTTCTGGTTGCCATGATCCTGAACAAGACGTGAGATCTCCGAACTGAGAGCATCCACTTTAGCGGCAGCTTGCTGGGGATTCATGGTCGCAAGTTTTCAGTCCTACTCGGTGACGAAAGGTCGAATTCCTGGGCAAGCTCGAGCAAGCGTCGATCGATACTAGCAATGTGAAGGGAGTGATTGTGAGAAAGAAAGAAGAAAAAGGAAGAGGAAAGCACCAGTCGAACGAGGACTCAAAGATGTGTCCCGTCCACATCTCAGCCTTGCCGCCTTCAGCCTTGCCACGCTCAGCCTTCCGTCAGATTACCCCTCTCGAAGGCAGCCAATACGACATGTGACTCGTGAAGAGGCGCCTCGAAGCTGCAGTGCGAAACGACCAGCAAGCGCTCGGAATTCTTGAGTATTCAGCTCGGCCGTACGTACTATTGGTGCAACAGGTAAACCTCACGCTTTCAAACCGGGCCATGCTAACAGCGTCTTGGGTGTAGCTTGGTTTAGCATCAGATCGTGTGTGCATCTACAGCTTCAACAACCCACACATCTTTCATCGCCAGAAGATCTCGGCAGCGATGGAGAAATAGGTGTTCAAAGCGGCTGCTTTGCCTGAACAGTATGCCAAGCATTCTGTAAGTACCTCTGTTTCACTCGATGCGACGCTGCCTGGTCATTGGTCCGCTGATGCAAATACGCTATTCGATCTTTGTTTTTGTTCCTTGATATACAGCGCATGATCGCATCTGTCTCATCTCATACAAATAATGTGCCGTCCCATACGTTCCTGCGATCATAGTCTTTATCGAGTCGAAACGTACCTCCTAGTGTCACTTCATAGTGCAGGATAAGATCGTGTCACGTTCATAAAATTCCTCGTGACATGAATCTCTGATATTCTATTTCCTATCGGCTTCTACCGCATCGACTTCCATTTCTCCCACATCCAGGAGCTCATTCGCACACTTGGTCGATCGAATACCTTCGTTCCAATTTCCGCAACCCAAAACATCAATGGAAGGCTGAGTGCCAAATCCAGGACGACTCCAGGCTGCCATCCCACAGGCCTAAAGAGATGAGTGGAAGGTAAGCAAATGAATCAGACGATATTCGCAGATTATCGATGCTGTTCAGAATTGACTTACCCCCATATGGCAGGAAACAGTCCCGACCATGCTCCGACTGGAAACTTGTTGAAAGGCCATTTGGCCTTAGGACCGCCGTGGTAGCCGAACCCGCAGAGGATGAGAATTGTTCGCGAGAAGGTGGATCCTACGACAAGATGGGTAAGGTAGAGTGAAAAGCTATGTCGGCCGAGATCTGTACCAAGAAATCAGTATTTCGTCATCGATATTGGTCTTTTGAACGTCACATGGGCGGAATCTTACACTGGGGAAAGCTTGACTCGAAGAGCTCTTTTGCCCATCGAAGTTCTTTGATGGAAACAGCCAAGAGCCAGGCTGCCCAAAAATACCTGTACGTGACAAACGTTAGCTGCGGGTATGCCATGGATGCTGTGTCTGTGATTCTCTCACCAAAAATCTCGGATCCCACTAGTTGCTCCTTTGTCCCAGTACTGCGGTGGAGTCATGTTGAACAGGAAAGACGGCCAGCTTGAGCATCGCGCAACAGCGACTTCTGGAGGCAGGTCCCACTTCAGTACGGGGAAGGATGCCAACAGGAGCGCGACGAGTAGAGTCGTATGCAGCACGATCGTGCGAGCAAGCCTGCGCGTTCGCAAATATTTTGAAAGCGGATCCCACGGCAGCCAGATCTTGTCTATCTCGCCCGAGTCGTGCAGCAGATCGATCTCAGACATCATCATACCGATGAAGAAGGCGGCGTAGAAAGCGTCTGTACGATAGTCAGCCTCCATCGAGGGTAGCTTTTGAGCAGAGAGACTCACAAGAGCTGAACAGCACCAATGCGACACTCAGGCCTAGCGTCAACAGAATCCTCCATTGTGCGCGCAAACTATGGATCGCGAACAGCCAACCGAAGACCATCACACTGCCCTTCAGCTCGATGATGATGGTCCACGTTACACGATTGTAGTACGACGCAAATGCTGTGAAATAATTTAACACCTGGAAACAATCCTTGACCCAGCCCCAAAGCTCGGCGAAGAAGTTGTCTGCGAAGCCACCACTCCAGTTGGGGTCGATGCCTGTGATCCAGTAGAACAAGAGGATGAAGAGGGCACTGAGCATAGCGGGCATCAGAAGTCGGCCGTGGCGACGAATCACAGCCGAATTGAGGGCCTCGATGAACTCTGCTTGTCGGTGTTCTTGAAGAAGGCGGAGCAACCTTCGCGGGACGACGTAGCCTGTTTGGATACCCTCGTGAGCATAATCCAATACCATCTTTGTTCCTCTCCCCAGTGTTCACTTCGAGCAAGGTCAAGACATATCAACACCAGAGAGGATCCTTCAGACTTCAGAATGGCATAATGGGAAAAGCGATATGGACTCACCTGATATTACAAAGAACACCACCACAGCAAATGATCCTCCGCTGAACGCCAACCGCAGAATTGGCCAACTCGCTGGGGAGGTCTGCTCAGGCCAATGATAACAAAATGCATGGCCCATGTACACCATGGCCTGTTCATGCTGCAGTACGACCATCAGAGCTGCTACACCACGAAGTCCATCCAGCCAGGCTGTATCGGAACGGCGTTTGTGTCCAGTAGTTGCCGAAGGAGGTGATGATTGAAAAAACTCCGGTACAAGTGCCTGAGGCAGCTGGGAAAGGTGGTTTGTCAGGAGAAGCGAGAGGCGATCCATCGTCGGAGAGGTGGATTGAGTCATGGTGTCAGTGTTGTTCTTGTCGTCGACGGTGCGGAAGTCTAAGGGCGTAAAGACTCGCTGTTGACCCGATGGACTACCAGCGGGTGATGCGCAGGCGGAGGAGGATGAGCTTGAAATGCGTTCATAACATGGTTGCTCGTGGAGTCCTCTGATCGTCCTAGTTCCTTGTCACGCCAAAGTGTCTCGTCGATGGCGCTGTAAATGCCGCCGCGTCCTGATAGACTTGATGCTGTACAACTCTCAAACGCGAAGCAGACACGAAGAAACGGTATAGCTGCATAGACATCTGGCCCAGCCATTCTCAGCCTGGGCTCAAAGTCTAAAGAGGAGCCTCGGCTGGATGGCGCTAGAGGGGATTCGTGCCGTTCGTTAGAAGATCGGTAGCGCTAACGAGCGCCATGGCTCCGTTCTCCCCTCTTTCAACCGCCAGACGAGGAGCGAAATTGCTGGAGGAAAATGCCTTGAGATGTCTTGAGAACAGGTGCGGTGGATGCGGAGGAGCTCCAAATGCTCTGAGGCTGATCTACTGCTAGTGGTGTCGTGGTGCGGCTGAACGAGATGAGGAAGAGGTGAAAATAAGGTGCCTGCTTCCAAGTGGAGCGATCTCCGCTGGGGTGTCAACTTCACGTGGCTGGTGTTTCTGGAATAGCGGCCGCCGCTCAGCAAAGAGAGTGCAGTGATGAAGCTTGCTAATCCTGAGTACAATGTGTTGGCATGGCATTCAACGCGGGAACGAATGCCCTCGCGACCTCTGAGGAAGTGGCCACACAGTTCATCACCACAAGCATTCCATTTCGTACACGCCATCGACGTAAAGTACAGATATCGTTGCAACAGTCGTCTCTCTGTCCTTCCCATCTATAAGGTGCGCACGCCACACGCGGCCTCTTTTCCTACTCAACACCAAATTACGTCCGCGCCGTCGCTATGCTTGAAGTCACAACCGCGTGCCAACAGCTGTCGTTGCTTGTGATTCCTTTCTCTTTTCAATTTCTTCAGCCCACCTTACACTCTCGCTCTCCCGCTTCTGGTATCATAAATATGTCAAATTTGAGGAAGACGAAGACGCGCCAACCGAGACAATGACTGCCAAGTATGTTGAATGCAATGCTTTTTCGTCAAGACCGAAGGAAGAACGGACGGCATTCGCCAGTGCCCTGAGATTCAGTATTTCGTCACGCTTGCTGTGCTTGGCCATGTCGTAGAGCCAGGAGCGCACGCACGTCAGTGCAGTACTGCAGACCTTCGAGAAGTGGGATAATATGTAACAGCTCGTGATCTGTAGGGTCGCTGATCCAGCCTTCGATGGGTATCGCATTGTCTGAAAGCACACACGCGTGAGCACCAAGATGAGTTTCAGGAGCATGCCCATGCCCGCTTACCTTCGTGAAAAATATAACTCATGGGTGAGTTGTCTAAAATCATAACTTTGCTCAGATCCGGCTCCACTTGAGCGAGATCCTTTATGTATGCGCCATTACGATACGTGCAGTGTTGTCGATAGTAACGCCCGCTGAAGTATTTGCGTTCTCTCTCGAGCCAGTCGATGACGGGATCGGCATACTCCTGCACACTGGCCGTGAAGGCGATCAGGTTGTACCACTTGGAAACCTTTCTCAAGAACTCATGGCATCCAGGTCGCTCGTGCACGTAGTAAAGGATTGGCACGCCGGGGCCGATCTGAACTCCGGAGGAGCTGACTTGACCATTCAATCGTACTTCCACCATGTGCCCCGTCGACATCCTATTGCTCTTCGCCATGCTGTGGATTAATGTTTCGTCGAGGTCAATGATCAATGTCTTCTTCGGCGTGTTCGACGAATACGATAAAATGTAGCTGGGTTGTCTGCGTGGGACCAGAGGCCGCGGCGTGGCAGGAGATCGAGGATACTTCAGCTTGGAAACGGTGGGTGAGTTGGGGGACTTCAGCATGGGTGCCACAGCAGCAGCATCGTCTGGACTGGCGGCTTTGGTGCGTAACCTGGTATCTTTGCGTTTCCGCAAGCTGTTCTCTTTAATGCGAATGCTCTTCTTGGGGAGGCCTTCGCTGCCCTGCTGCGAGACACTCGACTTGGATCGGGTATGACGCGCAGGAGAATCTTCTCCTTCTCCGTCCGATGTGCCATACGATACGGTCGACGCATTACTGTCCACAGAGGGTGATCGCCTGCTCGTCCCTTTTCTCCGCAAATGTGTCTTCTCGTCCTCGTCCGTTTCGGCCCGCAGACCCACCTGTCGAGCGGACTTTCGTCTCTTTTGCCGGGTGATCATATTCTTGAAGCGCGTCAAGGGTAGAAGAGTAGCGAACTGGCCGTCCTCGTCGTAGAAGCAGGCAATCACGTATCGGCCGGGCGCAGTAATGGTGGAAATGACTAGCTCGACGCTGTAGAGGATGGCAGCGCCAATGCGATGCGGAAGCGACCAGAGCGATGCTCGTCCTTCAGCGCCAGATGCGCCAGTGTCGCCGCCGTCCAACAAAGGCGTCTTCTCCGAGGCCCATTGTTCTGTGTCCCGCGCGTCGTCGTCGCCCGCTTTGCTGACCTCATACTCGCCCCCGTGACCCAGCTTCTCCGATAGTGAGTCCAGATCGAGATCAGATGTGTCGTTCAGCGAGCGCAGCGTTTCCACTTGCGCCGAGGAGCTTTGACGCGATCGCGGCGGAGAAGCACTGGGCGTGGTGAGCCTCGCAAGAGAGCTGAGGCTGTTCATTTCTATCGGCGTTCCATTGAGCTCCTGAGTGAATGTGCAGCGCGCGGGGGGTGGTAGAAGTCCCGGCGCAGGTGCAGCTGTGTTTAGTGAAGTTCGGCAAGCTGAGGCTGCTGCTGCTGCTGGGCCTGGTGCCACGAGACGGGCGGATCACATGCGCCGAAGCGACGAAGCTTGGACGCGCGGCGGAGCGGGATGAATGGAAAGGAGCGCGGAGCGACGCGGCGTCGATGCGGGCGGAAAGGGGTGGGCGAGGGGAGTGGGTGGTGAAGAGAGAGCAGGCCGGTGTTTGTGGTGGTTGGGTGGAGCTGAACACGATGTCATCCGATCCGCGCGCGCTTGTTCCGCCTTCTGCAGTTGTGCATGCACGTTGCCCAAAAAGCGAGAGCGACGGCACTAACAACTTCGACATTCTGAAACCGACTGCGAGACAGCGAGCATATCGACATTGACCCACTGAGGCATTGCGGGAACGCACTGTACGGAATCTGCATCACTCCGGACCGCTGCTACCTCCTCCAGACATCAGCATTCTGCTGCCACTTGGGCGTTGAGTCACTGCAAAATCAACAATATCAAGCACTTCACATCACCTCACTCCCACAATGCCCGGCGCGGTGCTGGGCCAGACGCCCTCGCTCCGCACCTTTCTCAAGTCCCAAAAGTCACAAGACGTCGACACATCAATCGAACTGCTCGTCTCGCTGCTCAAAAGACGCCAAATCCGCAACTCGCGCCCCTGCGCTATCGCCACCGCACAGCTTCTCCTGCGAGTCGTCGGCAGCTCGCGATGGAAGGACTCACAGTCACTGATCCGCCGCATCCGCGAGGTGGGCAGGAAACTGGTGTCCGCACAGCCGCGTGAGATGGCCGTGGGCAACATTGTCCGGCGCGTGCTTGGTGTGGTTCGCGAGGTGGCCGAAGACGACACGGACGAGAATGCATCGAGTGATGGCATCGGCAGCCCTGCACTCGGCGGAGCAACGCAGCGCCCTGCTCTGCCTACGCATCTTTCGAGCTTCAGCCCTCTCCACCACGGCGCTGCGCTTCCACAGCAGACCATTCCTGGCATCAGCAGTCCGGCATCCCCATCTATCGACGGAAGCCAAGAGCTCCCACCACAACGACCTCACGTGCCTTCTTCGGCTGCATCCTACGCTGGCCAAGCACCACATACCGGCTCCTTGTTCGGTCTCTTTCAGCAACCCTCAGGTCTCTCCCCCATGGCCACGCCACCGATGGGCTCTGGGACTGCAACGCCGACGCAAAGAGCCGCGAAACAAGACGACAAACCGAAGATTGACCTCCGAGCCGAAGTGTGCTCGGGTATAGACGATCTTCTCGAGGAACTCGACATCGTGGACACGCAGATCGCTGAGTCCGCTCTCGATCACATTCACAGTAACGAAATTATTCTCACACACACCTCCAGCCAAACAGTGCAACGCTTCCTCGCAGCAGCCGCTAAGAAACGCAAATTCACTGTCGTGCATGCTGAAGCTTACCCCAATGACCATCAAATCACCCACTCCACTATTGTCAACGGCGGTACGAAACAGAACCTCAGCGACGAAGAAGACTCGCCACAAGATCGCTGGAAACCCCTCACCCAACTCGGCATCAAGGTCATTGTCATCCCGGATACTGCCGTCTTCGCCCTCATGTCCCGCATCAACAAAGTGATCATGGCGCCTCATGCCGTACTCGCCAACGGCTCCCTCATCGCCGCCTCCGGAGCTAGCACCATCGCGCAAGCGGCCAAGGTTCACCGCGTCCCCGTTGTGGTGCTCTCGGGTGTCTACAAGCTTTCTCCCGTGTACCCTTTCGACACGGAAGAACTCATCGAATATGGTGAACCGAGTCATGTAGTTCCCTACCAGGATGGAGAGTTTATGGATCGCGTGGATGTGGTCAATCCCATTTTTGATCATGTGGATGCAGATTTGGTGGATTTATACATTACCAATTTGGGAGGACATGCACCAAGTTTCCTCTATAGGATCGTGGCGGATCATTATCGGGTGGAAGACATTGACTTGAGTGCGAAAGTCTGATTGTGAGATGTCAACGTTTTACCGTGCTAGTGCAGTCGACTATGGTTTTCAGGGTATGGAATATGACCTTGTGAGTCTGAAAGAAAATGACAAGCTTGCGGCAGCTGCAATGCCAGCAGACTAGACACCCTCCGTCAAGTCGACGAGAGCTTCTGCTTTCCGCTTCTGCCATCAGCTGTCAGCTATCCCGTTCCTCCTCAACTCCTTAATATTTGTCATAGGTGACCCAATTGGCGGAAACGGGTGTTCAGATCGACCAGCTATGTCCTTGAAAGCTCAGTTCCGGTTTCGCTCCTATTCTTGTCGAAGCGGCACGTAACACTTTTAACAAGGACTCCATTTTCATCACCCTCACGAGCTCACATTCCGTTCTCATCTGAATTTACTTTCTCGCTTGCTACGATCTGCGGAGTGACGCGCTGAGAGGGAGGAGCTCGGTACGCCCTCTCCCAAACCTCACAAGAAAAAAGGTCTGAGCAGCTGTCTCTATGTGCCGCAGTCATTGCAACCTTGTGTTATCCACTTGTCTAGGATTCGGTGGAAGATTTGTGCCTCCAGTAAGAGAAACTCTTGGCTGCATGAGATTCGATCCCGCGCTCGAGGGTGGCCTGCATGGACTTTGCTAGCCAGAATCTGGAATGCTGTTCTTCGATGGAAGCACTGCGACCCAGTGTATTGACATGGACTGCTTTGAGGTGTGGGTAAACATAGCGAGCGCCACTTCTGGAATCCTGTCCATCTATTGTGGTAGACAACTCGTACCGTTCGCTGCTATCGCCGGTGCCTTGCTGGCCTGTTTCGTTTTGGCCGCCAGAATTGGGCTCCCCATGTTTGGCAGTGATGAGGGCGGAAAGGGCGTTGTCGAGCCATTCAGCAGTCTCGCTGTAAGGGGCAAGACCTTTCTCATCGCTCAGCAATGTCTCAATGGAAGGAATTTCATCGTCGTCAATGACAAGAGTCTCGACAGTTCGCGGCAAGGCTGGTTCGCTGTATTCATGAGCCAGCCATTCAGCAAATCTCTCACGCCTAGTGAGCTGCTTGCTCTGACCATCATCGTCCCAGTAATGGACTGCCTGCAGTACAAGATCGGACGCCACGATAGTGACATCGCGAATGTGTGCACTGTTCCGATTGTCTCCGAGACCTTCGGGCATGAACAGATTTCGTCGGTATTTATGTCGATCAGACTTGGACCTTCCATGGAACATGAAGCTCTGGAGGTTGGGACGACTCTTCGCGCGGTGCGCACATAATCATTTGTGCCAATCAGGTCACCTCCACGGAACGAGACAGTGGGAAGTTGATATTATCTGTCAGATGTCGCTCCATTGCGACGAGCGCTACAGAATTCACGCACCTGTTGCTTGCATGCACCAATCACACGCTACCACACGTATGGATCAAAGTAAGTGAGACCATCGAGGAACAGGTGGCGTAGTGACGAACAGCCTTCGATCAGGTAATGATCGAAATTCTCGTCTTCGTCATCAGGCTCGACACGCCAGCCGTGGAAGTAAAGGGACTCCAGATTGGGCAGATTCAAGAGCTTTGACATCCAGTTCTCGCCGAATGACGCTTCCTGCTTGTCCAACCACGTTCCAGCCTCGGCCTTTAGTGCGACATGTTTGAGTGATTGTAGTCCTGGCGGCCACTGCAAGATATCTTGGTCCCGGTGTGCCATAGTGACGATTTCCAGCCATTGGAGACTGCTTCCTGGCTGCGTGGTCGTTCTGGCTGATTCTTTGTGGCCTCGAGCAAAGTAGAGCGCTCTCAACCGAGGACAGGAAAGGACTAGTAAGATCTTGAGAAACCCGTCGCTGCCTCGAGCAAGGTGTTTGCGGGCTTCCTCTCGCAACGGACTGTCCTCGCCGAAGTTGGGAAGATATTGCGCCATGGCGCTCAGGTTCAGCTCAAGGTCAGAGGTGAACAGACCTGGCTGTGTTGGCTCTGTTTGAGTGAAGAAGTCCTTCCTTCTCTCCATTGGCTCATCAAATTCCCCGAACATTGGCAGAGGCCATGGTCTAGCAGTGAATCCCTTCTTGGATGATTTTCTCCTTCTTCTACATAGGCCAATTGTACTGGCCGGCAGTGTTCCCATTGCTTTCGCGTGCGCCAGGTTCTGCGACAAACAATGAATTCAGTCTAGCAGCCTCCAATGTTCTCGATTGTGCTTACCGAATCTCTCGAGCATGATATGCCGCGATAGGATCGTGCAGCACAGGTTTGAGCAAACGGGGAATCGCCGCGGGATTGATTTCAGAGCACTGCCTGTCTTTGTAAGCCGCTGGTTGCCGCTTCAAGTGATCCTGCATCGCTTCGGCCACATAGTGGCAAGTGAAAGCCAGACCGGCGTGTGAAGCAGAGCAGTAGGTATCGGCGATGTGTGAGATCAGCTCGACCGGGAGTGACGTGAGGGTCGTCATGCTGCACAAAGAGTGTGGTGTTCGGAAGTGAGAAGATGGGGAGATTCGAGAGGGCAGCGTAGATGAACTTCGAACACTTCTGCCAAGAGCCCGTGTCTCGATGCCTGCTGGTTGCGGTGGAGAATTGGTCGGTTGGCTCCAATCATGTGACTCTGCCTGATGAAAGCGATGCGTGGCGTTGGCTCTCTGTCCTTCGCTGAGCCATGGCCCCAGGATATCATCCTCGCTGCGGTGGTCTCGAGAGTTGACCTGTAATGCAGGCTAAATGAATAAGCACATGAACTTTCGTCGTCTATCAGTATATCGTAGTCACGAGATTCGGACTTCCTGCGTCCAATCCCCTCCCTCCTGACTCCTGTCCTGTACCCGCTATGCATATACACATCTCCCACACCAGCCTATGTCAACTTTTGCTTGATGAAGAAGTTGCGCAGATAGCTCAACTGCCATGCGCATGTCAATCCCAACACGACAATCTGAATCAGTGTCCATCTCACGACCCTCGAATTGACGCTCTCGGACTGATCGCGGAACTCTGCTTCTCTTTCCCGCTGGAAGATCTGTTCTCTTCGCACGTCTTGCAACCTTGCATTCAGGTCCTTGACTTTTTGCGCAACTTCGTCCAACTTTTCCTTATCGCTGCTTTCGATTTGTGATGTCTCGCCGATAGCCATGTCGAGCTCGAACTTGATGCCACCGACTTGGCTGCCGCTGAAGAGGAAGCCGGAGGTCGCGGGAACGTTGGTGGGGGTGAAGCACAGGCGATGTTCGCCGGAGTCGGCTGCGGTGAAGGTGAACTTGCCGTCGGCGCGGCCACGTTGTGAGACGACGCGGTGATCGTTGTCGAAGAGTTCATCGACGGTTATGTAGACGCCCTGGCAAGAGGTCAGCGCTCGTGGGAACGATGCGGGATAGAGATTGCCGTACCATGTCGGGATTGGGTTGGTATGATCGGGAGTTGTGATCATATTGCGTCGCTTTGAAGTGACCTGGGTGGTGCTCATTAGTATCTCGCTGCTCTTCCAGCAACTCTCAACTTACCAACAACCAAGGTGTCCTTGGGCAATTCCTCGAAGAAGCATTTCTGGGTCGGGCCATCGATGTAGAAGTACAGAGCCTCGGCGCAGCTCAGGAAGAGGGCGACAGAGCTGAATATCGATCTCATGGCGGCGGCGATGGTGGTGCGTGTAGAGACAGTTGCGTGGTCGAGAGTGCAATGCAATGCAATGCCTCTCCCTCCGTTCTGGACACGCGAGCCATATCGCAGGGGTCAGCGCCGTTCAGGGATCTATGCCAAGCCACTAGCCCTCGCCTGCATCCACGTCCCGCCCCGCCCTCCTCCCAACTGCAACTGCCTCCAGCGGCCACCCTCTCTGCAGCGCAGCGCGACTTGCTTCCTTCCCGATCCATCCACCGCCCGTCGTCGCCTCCCACACCGGCTGGCTTCACTTTGAACATCGGTCGCCGCAGAGAGCGCGATTTTCTTGTTTGCGCATGTGATTGCAGACCGGTGAAGGTCATGATTGGCCACAATGCAGCTGAGAGTTGCTGTTCACAGCACCATGGATGCTGCTGCCTTGATACCTACGCGGCAATCGGTAGGTGTATATAAGACCGTCGTGGCTCAACAATTCCGGCTCTCCATTTACTCACTTCTTCACTTTCCACTCTTTCATCCAACACCGCGCAGAAATGGGCGATCCAGGCGTTTCCACCGACTCTGCCGGCCAGAGTTCCCTCTACGAAACTTTCAAGGCTAACTTCACTCGCCCGCACGAATATGGCGAGCTTCTTGCACATGATGCAATTCGTCGCCTGTTTCCCAACAAACACATCACCCCGGTCTTCGATTACGATGCGAAGCTGTTTGCCTATGCGGATGCTGGTCATGCCAAAGCGAGGCTCATCCGCCAAGGAGACGACTTCCTAGCATTGCGAGACTACACGCCGCCTGCTCTGCGTCTGGAGGGTGGTCACGGGAAGCTCTGCGACAAGGTCCGCTTCGGCCTGTACCAGTACGAGTATGAGGGCTTTAGCTTCGAGATCGTCCGCGCTCAGTGGTACACCCAATATGCTTACAGTCGTCGGGAAAAGGTGCACTTCATTTTGACCCCAAGGGATGGCACCAACGAGCAGTCACATTGCCATAAAGCAGATGCGCTCATTACTGCCGCGGGAAAGTGGACGGCTCAACTCCACGACGAAGTGTACGTCTTCGATCAAAGCTACTGGGCAAAGGACAAATCACTTTGGGCTGCTGTACAGGCATCCACCTGGGACGATGTCATCCTTGATCCGGCAATGAAGGCCAATATCATCAAAGACGTTGAGGGATTCTTCGACAGCCGTGCCATTTACGAACAATACAATGTTCCATGGAAACGCGGACTCATCCTGCACGGCACTCCTGGCTGTGGTAAGACTATCAGTATCAAGGCTCTCATGAACTCACTTCAAAGTCGGGATGTTGTCAGTCTCTATGTCAAGACACTGAAGAATTGCCAGGGAGAAGAGTTCTCCATCCGGACCATCTTCGAAAAGGCTCGAAAAATGGCACCGTGCATGCTCATCTTTGAAGATCTGGATTCCCTGGTCAACGATAAAATTCGAAGTTACTTCCTCAACGAGGTCGATGGTCTGGAGAGAAACGATGGCATCCTCATGATCGGAAGCACGAACCACCTCGAGAGACTCGACCCTGGTATCTCAAAGAGACCAAGTCGTTTCGACAGAAAGTACCACTATAAACTCCCAGGAGAGAATGAGAGGATCGCGTACTGCAACTACTGGCGCAAGAAGCTGGAAAGGAACAGCAACATCGAATTTCACGACGATATCGCTGGGATTTTTGCGCAGCTGACTGACGGATTCAGCTTCGCTTACTTGAAAGAATTGTTTATACAAACCCTTCTGACAATCGTAGGCGGTCGTGCGGATGCCGATGATGAGGATGACGAGTATGAGCGAGTCTCTGGAGAGGAGGAGGCAAGACAGCATTTGCATGTTGCAGCCGGATCATCGTTGGACAACAAGAAGTCGACGACGAAGGACGAGAAGCCTTCACGTCAAATGGCAGAAGTTTCCATTCCCGAACATCTGCAAGAGAATACACTCTTACGTGTTCTACACAAGCAAGCTAAAGGCCTGTGGCGGGAAATGGATAATTCTTCCGATGATGAGAATGTGGAAATGGCCGAGGAGTCCAATGAGCATGACGGTGGGGATCAAGGTGATTGTTGTTCTGGTGGACAGATCCTGGGCAACGTGCAAGCTGTGCCTGTTCGCCATTAGCTCTGCAGTGGTCCCAGAGACAGAGAGGTTTTGGTCAAGAATAACGGCACATGATGGCTAGCGGGAAGTTGGTCATGCCAGAGAGATAAATTGCGATGCTATGTAGCGGCATGATTGAAGTTTTGCTTCGATTGTATCGACTGGGGGCCAGAGTCGCCACTATTTCCGGCGATCCACTCTATCCGCTCTCATGCTATCACTCCTCGCTCATCGACTCTGCGTCGCTGCCTTGTGTCTCCGGAAACATAATCATCCTTGCAACGTTCAGCATCTCGTGTCCTTCACCCAATAACGTGTCGATGTTGTTCTGCGACCAGCTTCTGCTCCTGACTTCTTCGGCAACGGCAGCCCGGTACCGCTCATGCCACTCGTCTTCTTCCATTTCCGTCTCGTCGGTCCTCTCCTCGTATGGCATGGAGATTTGCAAGATCTGACCTTTGCCTAACAGTTGGCTCAGTGGGTAAGCGCCAGCAAAGTCCCAGTCCAAGACTCCGACCAATTTTCCGTCGCGGACGAGCATGTTTCCCGCATGAAAGTCCTCGTGCACGAGCACCTTGGGCTCTGCATCGATGACACGGAACACGGGTTCATCGTGTGTAGCAGCAGTGTCGCAGTCGACTATTTCCCGACGTTTGCGCTTGAGCGACTCTACAAAGTCGGATGGGTCTTGCTCGGTATCGAAAAAGTCCTCGATATCTTCCCGGTCAGCGTGGCTGTAGAAATACATCTCGCGATCATAGCATGCCAGGACGTAGCTCTTACTGTCCTGGTACGGCCCGATGTTGTAGTGTTCGGGGGAATGGAATTTGGCCTGTAGCAATGATGAGGTCAGTAAACATATCGTAATTTGAAGTCGTACCATTTGGTGGCTCTTTGCGCAGACTTACCCTTCCGTTGAATAGCTTCGCAGCCTCGACCGTAGGACCGTATTGAACAGATTTACCAACCCCAGTGCCATTTGCGGTCGGTACGAGGCTGCCAATAGCATCAAATCTTGTTTCTCCAAGATCAACAATCACCTTTGCAATTTGATTGCAGATACTCGACTTCTGTTCTTCCGCGAGAGTTGGCCAGACAGCACTGAGTCGCTGACCCTCGATGAACTCTTCTGCCGTGAAGGAAGCCCCTGGACTGCTAGAGCTGCCGTCGCCCCAATCATACAGCTTCGGTATTGGCACTTCGGGAGCGTTCAAGGCCAACCACTGCAGACAACCGACGTGGTTGCGAGACTGGAATGGCTGGAGAGAGGTGACGTTGTCTTGGCATATGCGAAGCACAAACTTGGCTGGTCGTGCTGGTTGTAAGGTGGCCTAGATGAGAAGTCATTGGTTAGCAGGCGCATGGGAATGATGGAAGTACAAAGGTTGGTATCTCACCTGCGAACTTGACTCGACGAGCCAGACGTGATTATATGCCCCACGAGCGATGTAGGAGACGTTGATCGCTGTTGTGTCACCAAACACGCTTGGCGCAACTCTTGATGCGATCTTGTCTGCGACATGTTGCGATCGTGTAAGTTCCTCCGGGAGCGACTCATTGTCGCCTATTTGCGCCATTGGAATTTCGGCCAGACCCATTGTTGGCTCGTTTGCAGTCTTTGCAGCTTGATGGCTGACCACCAGTGCCTTTCTTGTAGTACCAATTGTGTCCAGGCTTACCGCACTTCTCCATGTGTTTGGTGCAGTAGCCGGTTCTGGTACACAACATGCAGTGATGTGTCTGTCGCATTGCGGGTTGCTGCACTTAGTGCAAGGTAGGTCGCACGGCGCTAGTGTCTTGGCGTTTGTTATGCCTGGCATGTGCAACCCGGGTGTATGGCATGAACGATGTGACGAGGTGGAGAGAGAGCAAGGATGAAGAAGACAGACTTAAAAGGCTTGCAAGACGTCGTGGGAGTGAATGTATGGGTGAATAGCTCGCTCGATACCAGAGTAGCACATGTTGTTCACCAACGTGGAGTGAATAGCCAGAGCTGGTGATACCAGAGCCCGATCAACAACACCGCAGTAGGGAATATGCAGGGTACGCATCTGCTTCAATTGTACGAACTTATGGCTGGCTTGAGTTTCTATAATCCTCGGAAATGTGCAGGAATGTACACCATTCGTCAGAGGTCGGTGCTGGAGCTAGTTTCGATCTTGTTCCAAGGCTGTCAGGCAGTGTCACAAGCTATGTCTTCTGAGGCTATCGGAGAGGAGCGATCTGCCAGACAAGTCCGGCGTCTGCCGTCGCATTGGCTGAACGCTCGAACTGCGTGAAAACAGAGAAAGAAGAAGGTGGTCGAGGGGATGCGCTTGTTATAGAGACAGAAGATACAGAGGAGGTGTCATGCTAAGAGGCATCGGCATCGAAGAGAGCGATAGAGTATGTGCGCGCGATTGATTGGCTGTCGAGCAACCATGTTGCGCGCTCGCCGGTAAAAGGCAACAATGAGCCTCGACGGTATCTGAAATCGATCCTCGAGTGGGCGCCAGCCTGACCAGTCAACGAATCACCGGTTTGGACGACAGGCGTCATCACAGCGATGAACTACTGGTCTCAAAAGCGAGAGGGGAGGTGAGTGGGAAGAGCAGCACTCAAGGGCGAGAAGAGAGTGCTGAGAGCCAAGGGGAGATGGAGAGGCGTGGGTGAAATGAGGATCCGTGTGTTCGCAGCAAAGAGCGAGGAGGGCGTTCATTGAGAGGTGCATTCGCAATCACGAATCGTGCGTTTGTGCAGTTCGAGCTTTTGGCAGAGACAGACGCCTCCTCCGCCCAAGGCATCAACGCCAAGCTTTTGCTCCCAGCCACCCACTTTGTTTTGATCAAGCTGGTCCCGACTTCTCGCCACTTCCACATCACCAAAATCGACAACAGCAGCAGCAACAGCAGACATGGCTCCGTATCAGCGCTGCAAGCAGCTGAACTTGAAATGTTTGTTTAATGATAATTCTGACAGGTGCTCACAGTGTCGACAGAAAGGCTGCCCATGCCAACCGGCTGGGAATGTCTTGACAGCGGATCAAGAGCGCGCCATCGCAGTAAGTATGCGGCCGATGGCTACAGCGACTGGCGCACGCGGCCGCTCAGCGAGTCGCACTCCGGTGCCTCCGCCTCCATCGTCAATGGCTCCGCCCAGCTCGACCCAGTGGCAAGCGCCAGGTCTGCCACCGTCCCCATCGCCGCAATCAGCATTGCGAGCTTTAATTGACCGGATAATAGAGGCTCTCGACGCCATGGACCCACCCGCGCTCGAGTGCACCAATTCGAAGCGCAAGCGCGAGGATGAGGACGACGACGCGGATCCTGACAGCCCTCACCGGCCATCGATGGTCCACGGTTCCTCGGCTGACTCCTTGCCGGCTCCTTCAACACACAGGCAACGCGGCAAAAGAGGAGGTAAGAAGCACAAGAAAACGGGCGACGCTGATCACACCGCGCGAACGTCGTCGCATGAGACAGAGCCCGACGAGAGTCCCAGAAATCACGAGGCAGAGCCCTCAGTGCGACTGGAACGTCCAGCTCCACCCTTGTTTCGAGACGGCCCTGCTGGCTCCAGTCGAGGTGAACCTCCTCCATTCGATCGGGCTGGTCCTCCTGGCTTTGATCGAGGCAGCGCACCTGGCTTCGGCCGGGTTGACGCGCATGGCTCTGCTTTTGGCAGCGCGCCTGGTTTTGCTCGCGGCAGCGCACCTGGCTTCGGTCGGTTTGACGCGCGTGGCTCTGCTCGTGGCAGCGCGCCTGATTTCAGGCGAGTCGACGCTCCCGGCTCTGCTCGTGGCGGCGCTCCTGATTTCAGGCGAGTCGACGCTCCTGGCTCTGCTCGTGGCGGCGCTCCTGATTTCAGGCGAGTCGACGCTTCTGGCTCTGCTCGTGGCGGCGCTCGTGAATCTGGGCGAGGCAGCACTCGTAGCATTGGCGGTGACGACGCTCGTGATCACGGCCGAGGTGACAGTCCTGTGTTTGGTCGAGACGGCGCTCCGCATCCAAGGGGACGCGGACGCAGACGTGGTCGAGGTGGCAATCGGTCCTGAGCGCCGTTCGTCGACCTCCACCACGAGCGACTGCCTGTTCTCTCCACTGCATCGCGCACGACGCAAGCTCCTCAGTAAGAAGCGCCGCGAGTGTAGCTGCCAACAACATATGGCGCTCTTCGATGGCAGCTGCCGCTGAACGACCTCCCAGCACCACTTCGCTCGCCTGTGCCTCTGGCACTGGCTGAGTGCGCTCGTCGTGTTATTGGCACGCGCTGAGTCTGCTCCTCGTGTTATTGGCACGGGTCGAGTCTGCTCCTCGTGTCTTGGGCACGAATTAAGTGAGCTCATGGTGTCTTTGGCAGAAGCTGAGTTGCACGGGTTGAGTGTGTACTTCCTGTGTCATCGGCACAGTTTGGCAGTGCTCTCCAGTGTTGCTGGCACTGGTTGAGCTGGGTGGAGGCTTTCAGTAGGCGAACTTACCCATCACAGAATTGATGGCCAGATGGAGATATTCGGCGACCATCGTCGCATGACGATCAGATCCATAGATCATATAATCGTCAATCAAGAAGATTTGTTGTGTGAACTTCGTACATGTGCTTGACTCTTTTCTTGTGCTCTCGTGCATCCTGTCGACTGTACAGTACTGTGCTTTGCTCGTCGTCAAACGTGAACGAAGATGAAGTGAGTGTCAAGGCAAAGCTGTGTGGTAGCGCTCTGCCGATTGAACCAACATCTGACTCTGCGGCAGGCGGAGAGAGAGAATAGACTAAGTGAGCGACCGCGCTACAGCCGCGCTTTCTCACCTCCTAATCTGCGCCCTGTCGCGTACGGATGGGCCTCGCCTCTCGAAACGAGGTGGTCGAGCTCGAGCGTGCTGACGAGACCTGAGTGACATTGTCCAAGATCAGTGATGCCCACAAGTGCCATGGCAGTCGCCAGCTCCGTCTTGATAATGTCGATCAAATGCTCAACGCCTTCATCTCCATAGTTCGCTGCGAAAAGAAATGGTCTCCCTAAGCCGACAGCAGTGGCACCCAGACACAGCGCCTTGAGCACGTCCGACCCGCGGCGAATACCACCATCAACCAAGACTTCGAGCTGGGAGAAAATGCTCGGACAGTTCATCTGGCATTCCAGTAGTGTCATAATGGCAGGAGGAGAAGTGTCTAGATTCCTGCCGCCGTGATTGGAGAGCAGCACCCCGTCCATACCGGCATCAGCACACATCTTCGCGTCCTGCCAGCACTGGACACCTTTGACGACAATTTTCCCTTGCCAAACTCTTCTCAGCCACGCGAATTCCGACCAGGTGAAGTCAGGTGCAATGTATCCCCCCATCAACCGGCCAATGCCACCGCCTCTTCTGTCATTCGAACCCTTTTGTCCACTCATGGGCGTGCTCAGATTCTCATCCATCTTCACCCTCTCGTCTGCCTCACGCTTCCCCGGCATCGGTGCATCCACGGTCACCATGATTGTGTCGATGCCCAGGCTCTTCACGTGCTTCAACAGCTCCTCGCTCTTTTCTCTATCTTTGTTGACGTATAGCTGGAAGAAGAAGGCATGCGCGCCAGCCTCTATGCTCGGCACAATCTCTTCGATGGGAAAGCTGGCATTGGTGCTAATCGCTTGCGGCACTCGCTCCTTCACGCAGCCACGCGCGATCGCCTTCTCACCATCCGGATGTATCAGCTTCACCATCGCAGCAGGAGCGACGAAGATGGGCAAGCCGGCCTCATGACCAAGAATGGTAGTGGAAGTGTTCACATTCTTCACATCGCGTAGCAGACGTGGACGGAACCAGATGCGGCTGAAGTACTCTTTATTGCGTTCTCTCGTATAGCAGCCTGTGTCTGCAGACGAGTAAAAGGCCCATGTCTTCTTACTGACTGTCCTCTCGGCAATCTCTTCAAAGTCGTCGGCATTGATCACTGCACTCAAGGAGGGCTTCTCGTGAAGCTGCAGCTCAGGCGTTGCCGATGGAGGTGGCTTTTGGAAGTCGGCAGTGACTGTCGTGCGGTCGAGGAGCCCTTTACACTTCGATGAATCGAGTGTTTTGGAAATAAGCGAGAAGGGATGCACTTCGGCGTACGTGCTGGTAGCATCGCGTCCGGCGTGTTTCCAGATGATTTCTGGTGCGCCAGGATGTTCTGGAGCAAAGTCCGTAAAGTCCCAGACTGTGCCGTCGATCACGACCCAGCAATCGTGGGGAGTGTTGTGCTGGGATATGTCCTCGACGGACAACAGCTTCTCGTGCTCCATTTCAAGGGCAGGGAAGACAGCAGATTTGGAGGAGAGAGGGATTGCACCGTCCGCGTGCACTTACTATGTCAATTGAAAGAGTGCCACCTACACAGACACGACTTGAAGTACGATGCTCGGCCTTTTGCCTCCTACACCACGAAGATGGCAGGAGAAGAGATATCGGGTTGATTGCTGCCGAACACGCGGAAGCAGACTGCCGACCTCGGGAAGTGTCCGAGCTGCTTCACAGCACAATGCAGCACGTCGACGGTACTTCTCATACCTTTCTTGCATCTTAGTCATGCTTAACTGACCGCGGTGAGTGGAATGACTGCTGAAGTACAGCATCCCAGACACACCCTCGGAGCGAGGCAAAGCAAACAAGTCCGGCAGCCCCTCCGACATAACACCAACATGATCATTTGAATGCCTGTGTGGCATGCTGCGCCCATGGGGCTCGGCGCCTGAAACGGCAGCCTCGCCGACCTCGAAAGGACGCCAACGTCACCAATTCATTCGCGTGGCGCCGCGCTCGACCTACGTGAATGCCCTTAGCTGGCTGAAGGTGCTACGTCTGCTGGGCTTGCCAGACACCCTTGGCTCTATCGACTCAGTCGAACACGCAAGAGGCATCGCTCCCTTAAATTCGTATATCCGCCTAGTGGGTGCTGGTGAGACTTTCCAATAAGCTGCCATCTCTCGATCGAAGCCTCCGCATGATTGCGACAGCGCGCAAAGACCACGGTCAGCATGCCGTCTCGTCTCTCCGTTCGACCAACCTTGCGGTGCGCTGGACTGAAGAGACCTTTCGAATCGAGGCCGCGAGAAGACTGCCACGAACACGTCGGGACTTCGCCGCAGGTCCTGAAGCATGCGAAGTGCCGATGCTTTTCCCACCCCTGCCAGTACCCAGCTTCCCCAACTGCCGGCAAGGGCTTCAACGACGCGAATGGCACGAGCGATCTTGTGCAGACATGAGTATGGCCCCGCTCACGCCGCTAAGAAAGTGTGACGATCATAAACATGCGTGCAGCTACGATCGCTCACGATCTCTATGATCGCTGGATCAGTGCTGCATCCCTATGCACACATGAAAGGCTCACCTCCCATAGGTCTTGGCACTTTCAAAGCGCTTGTCGGATGCAACTCGTTTGCAAACCATCTTCGAGCAGCCCTGACCGCGCATCCTTGGGGGCTATCCCAACGTATAGTACTGTATATTGGCCCAGCCTCTTCCGCCCAGAAAATAGGAGTGATCCTGAGCCACACGTGCTGAATTGAGGTCTCCATCCCCGTCCAGTCAAACCTTGCTACGGTCTGCCACATCGCCAACAAGCCAAGCCAACCAAACAAGGTCAGACTGGAGATGCCAGACATCTTGTGTATACGAAACGCGGGGCTGTGAACGTCGTCTGTGATTTCTTGGGTCTGGGCGTTGTTTACCCGCGTCCTGCCGTTCTTGCGTCCTACATCTGCCCTTATATCACGCCGGCACAATCCATCCCTCCCCAACCAACGCTACACGACCCATCTCTTCCTCATCCGACATTGTCACTTCCTGTCTACGATGTCGACCGGAAAGGAGCCAAAAGACTTTGAAGTCAACGGCAAAGGCTCAGATCCACAAATTGAAATGAGCTCCCTTCGTCATGTACAGACTCAAGGCTCAGTTGTCCTTACTCCGGAAATGTTCGAACGCCTATACCTCTCACCTCCAAACCGAGTCAATGGGAATCTTCGTCGGATAATTGGCAACCCAACGCCTTTCGCCCTAGCTGGATTTATTATCGCCTTCTCGCCACTGGTTTTCTCCTTCCTCGGATGGAGGCAGTTCACAGGCGGTCCCACTTCGACTATCGGTGCCTTCTACTTTCAGGGCGGTCTACTTCCAATCATTGGAGCGATCTTTGAGCTGATTCTGGGCAACACATTCAGTGCATGCTACTTTGCCGTCTACGGCGCATGGTTCTTGGGATATGGTGCCACCTTCACCCCAGACTTTGGATCCTATCTTGCATATTCACCAGACCCAAGCAACCCGAGGCTGGGCATGTTGCAGCCAGGATTTTTGTCAGGTCAAGGTGAGTGATTGCTCAACGCTGATCATACAGAAACTGAGCTGACTTTCAATGACAAGCCTATTGGGCGCTCTTGATGTCCATTTTCTCTATCTACATTACTATCTGCTGCTTTCGCACAAACATCTGCCTCGTCATCAACTTCTTCTCCCTCTTTCTGATCTTCTTATTTGTCGCTATAAGTTTCTGGCTATCCGTGGACGGAAAGACCACTACTGCGTAAGTTTCAGTAGTAAGGGAAACGAGCGGCACCTACATGCTAACACAATACAGACATCATCTGCAGCTAGGCGCAGGCTACGTTAGCTTCATTGCACTTGATGTCGACTTGTACGCCCTATTAAGTCTACTATTCTTGACTGTTAACTTTCTAATTCAACTTCCTATTAGGACCTTAGCCTCGTCTTTCTAACCTTTTTAGATCTCAAAAAGAGAGAGCGAGTATTTGACGTAGAGAAAGCTAAATAGTAAAGAGGCAAATATAGAGACAGGCATATAAGGAAAGCAGGTATAGATCGTGCGCTAGGATTAATATTAAACTAGGTAGACTCTCTAAATTTCTAGGCTATAACGACCTACTACTACTAACCTTATTGCTTTTTGTTAGGTAAGTTTCCCGCCGGTCCCGGGCCTAATAACCTCGGATTAATATATACTACGATAACTTAACGTTAATATTCTTAGGATTAATATTCTATATCTCTATTAGTATACGAGGTGCTACGCTAGCTTATAAAGTAGGCTAGTATTATTAATAATAAACCGATAGCTCTAACTATTTACTCTAAGCCTATATACGATATATAAACCTTAGTAGTACGACTCTAGTATTACGCTTACTATACGCCCGTACTCGCTATAGCTATATAAATAGTACGTAAAATATCTTATCGAGTAGCGCCGAGCAATTACTAGAGTATATAGCTTAGGTAATACTCGTATTACCTATAGAACACTTTATCGAGCTACCTATTAAAGGTCTAAATATCTATATATATACGCTTAGATTACCCTACTAATATATATCTATATAGAAGAATATCGGGGCCTTATTTAACCTACTAGCTAGCGATATACTATCCGAGCGTTCTCTATCTTAAAGATAGCTTTTAAGAGGAAGCTTTAATATATAGTATATCTCTTTACTAGAGTTTATTATAGTACGCGCTTAATACCGAGTATATAGATCTCTACGACGCTATACTTATATAACTTCGGTAGTCCTATACTTTTATAGACGTCTATAATCGTATAGCTTAAATACTAAGTATCTTCTAATACTATAAAGTATATAGTCGCCTCGACTATTTTAGTAAAACCTTTACTTATATTCTATTATATAATCTAACTTTCGATAGCGCTACTATAAAATAAGATTCTATATTAGCTTATATCGTAATATTAAAGAGTTCTATCGAATTATATTCTCGTAGATACTCGTTAGATAGGTATAACGTAGTAGAAGTAAAGGCAATAAGTAGAAACTAACTAAGTTAATTATATTAGTT